GTTGTTTCTTTTTACGCCCTACATCACTTGTGATACAAGGGCATATTAAATATACCCACCTCTTATTATACCGATCGATTCAAAATAACTTTGAATTCGAGCTAAATTTGTCTGTCCGTCTGTCTACCTTGTTTTTGTACACCGACGTGTATTGCTCCAAGGACGAACGCTGTTGCAAATGGTCCGGATCGGACCCCTTTTTCGACCACTTGCCTTGATTTGAAAATTATCGTTTTATGAACAACTGTAGCGTGGTGTAGAATGGCAATATAGCGTTCTTACTTCTTTAACAGAAATCAAGCAAACCGTTTTTTTTTTTTTTGCGTTTTCGATTTTATAGTTAAACTTTAATTTGAGGAGTTTTGAGTTGATTAGTTAAACGGGTTGATACAATTTCACGAGGAAATGAAATTGTGTGGCCAATTATCATCTTATGTTATGTCGCTTAATCTGTTTATTATTAGCATCAATAAGCATGCATTTAAGCAAATAGTTTCATATACAATTTAGTCTAAATGGTTTAAAATTAAATTGTGTACCAAGTGAAAGCAGTCACTTAATGTGCATTGAAAGGCATTTAATCGAGATGAGATGACGAACAAAGCGGAAGAACTTATTGTTGTAACTGAAGCATATTTTCGTTTTTGTCATTTCAAATAAAACTAAATAAATATAATTTAGAGCGAGTTTCTTTTAAAAGCTGTTACTCATCGCAACCCTCTAAACTAGTTGCTCTCAAACTTAATTGCTGTCTGTTTAAGTTGTAGTGTGTTTAAGTAGTTTGCAAGTTTGTTCAACAGCAAACGTAACGACTGTTTACACTTTATTACTTTGCCACCGCTAACGTCAATGAATTGTTAACCAATATTTTTCGAGGCAAGCAATATAAAAAAGAAAAAAAATATACAGAAAAATATCTAAATTCAGAAATACTTTCTTTAAAAGAAAACGAAAACGCTTTAGAAGTTTATACACTTGTATGCTTACAAATCTCACCAGGCTCTGGGATCATTTAATCAAGTCCAATTGGCCGGAAACTTACCCAATTTGAAAGAGATTAAAACAAATAAATATGTAATATTGTTATTATGTAGACACAAAGTTTTGCATTCACTTCATCATCAATATTCATAAGTGGTTGCGAAAATTGGCTCATTATGAAATCTTGAAAATACTTTCTTGAATCTAGATATCGAAATTACGATATAACACGTTTGGCTGGCCAAGTCGCATTTAATCAAAACACTTGCCCATTTGGCACATCTGTCAATGAAATTTCAGACTTGATTAGTATGCATGAAGGGCCCAGAAAACGGAAGGAAAACATTTATCGAAGATGAATGTATTTAAGTTATTTATGTGTAACTAAATTGTATTTACGAGCGCGCACATTTAAAATATTAGTGTATATGCTTACATTCATATAGATATATATGATTAGATGCACATAAAGTAATTCATTAAATGGAAGAAGATTCAATTGAAATTTTTTTCGTTACGATTCGTACAATTTGCATTGTGAGTTCGGCTAAATAATATAATGAGGGGTCGCGGCTGATTTTTTCCCTCTTTCTAAGATATAAGTGCAATCTTTTGATCGTGCGTCGATTGTGGCTTAAATGTAAGAAAATTATATTCGGTCTTGATCTTTGAATCTTTTACACCAATCGCCGCTTTTCTAAAGAGGATTAGAAAAAAGGAAAGGAAATGCATTTTCATGCCCCATAATATTGGATGCGCGCGGCTGCTATTTCCTATTTTCAGAACAAAAGTGAAGACTTATACGGAGTAACAAGCACAAAATACGGAAAGCGAAGGTATTTACAGTTTTTGTTGTGGGGGCGTGGGAACGTAGCAGGAGCGTCTTTTGGGTAAATTTCTTCTTTCAAATTCAAATTTGTAGACAATATCTTCATTTTTGCTTATGAGAGGTTATTGACGGCAGATATTACAAAGTTGGGTAGACAGAAAGACGGACGTGCTTAGGACCATTCCGAATTTGAATCTGGCAAAGCATTCATATACTTTATGGGATTTTTGAAGCTTGCTTCTTGGCTTTATAATGGTGTTGAGAAAAACTTTGAATGTTTCCGCCAAATTTAAAGTCGATGGCTACATTTCTGCTTTGAGGAATCATTTCGAAAGAGTAACAGCAGTGTTATATACCATAATTTCTTTACGAATTACAAGCTTTCATCAGTAAATACATTTTATTTTTAACTTTTAAACATATTTTTTTCTTTTATGTAATTCAAAATTATGTAAACAAAAATAATAGCATAATAATTAGTTAGTCCCATGATTTATATAAGTGAGTGAGAATCGCATCATGCAATTATTCGTTATGAAAACACGTGGTACGCTTAGGGTTAATCACGAAGCAGTGCAGGCATTAGTAACATTTAGAAATTATTCAATGTTTCTATCATAATTTTCATTCGAAGGCAACAAATTGTACGAGTGTTTACAGTCGATTAAGCAAACGTTTGAACGTGCATCGTGTGAGCATATCCGGGACGGCAAATGCGATTTATAACTTGTTGCGAAACTGCAAGATTTGCAAAGAAAATAAGCGCGAGAGAGCTTGACGTGAGCCAAATTTATCGAGTTCAATTTGTGACACATTTTAAAGGCGGCTGTTACAAACCCACCCAACAAGCAACACGATCCACGAACCAGCTAAGAAAAGTACATCGTTACCGTTGCTTTAAAATACATACAATATGATTTACAATACGGGATGTTACATATGAAAAGAAAAGAGAAAAAAAACACTGTAGCCCAACGTACGCCGAAGTAAATGCATACAACAAGAAACTGTCATGCTGTGGAACTATTCTGTTCTTAATTAAAAAGCTGGCGAAAGTATTTGTTTATATTTTTCAAGTTACAATGAATTTAAAGACGCGTTAAGTGAAACTTTGCAATTCGAAGGCCTTTTTCAATGTTAAGTTATTACACTCAACTAAAATGCGATTATCTTGAAAGATGAACATCTTCTTTGGCATCTACGAACATCTGTATGTATAAATACGTTTAAATTTGCACATCTATGCGCGCCTTCCCGACTACACCCACACATTTGATACAACCGTACTGCGCTTGTGTAGCTGGCGTATGAAAAATGCTCGAATTAAATAAACTATCATCAGTTTTTAGGCAAATGTGAACTCAATTATAAATCAGCAAAAAAATTGCATAAATTTATTCGCAAGAGAAAGTGTTTATTTTTGTACTTTAGCCGCAACGAATATGTAAACATTCAAGTACGGGGCAAAAGCCCTCAAGAGTTATTTGAACATTAATAGTTGAAAGATTTCAAGGTACTCCAAAAAATGTTAAAAAATTTTTATATTTACTGTCCAGTTTTATGCAATTTGCTATAGTAATTACATTTTGTTTTACTGTTTGCTAATTTCGAAATTTATCTGCCTACACTCTATAGATAAATCCGGGAAAGATGAGGATATTTTTGGTGTGGAAAAGTTGCGCTTATTTTATAGTAAACGGTAAATCAAAAAGAGAGATATGCAATCTATTGAGAACATAAAGCGCAAATAGTGGCCATCTATTTAGAAAGCATTTTTCTTTTTATTTAGATCATTACGAAGTGCTTATTGCACTTGCTTATTGCTAAGGCTACCAGCTTATAGCTACAAGCTGTATGCTATACTGCGTCCAAAAGACATAACATATCTTCAAGGTGATAGGAAAAGTCGACAAGCGATAAAAGAGTTCGGCCATGTCATGTTAGAGGACCTTAATGATGGCACATTATTAAGATTATAAGTATTTTCTTTCCAATAACTGAATGCGTTTATTAGGGGAGTGATCCTTCTTTACGTAAGCATTTGTATAGGGAGGCGAATGCGACAAATCTTTGAAATAATGAAATTCAAATTCCAATTTGAGAATACCAGTGAGCTTCATAACCTTAAGCTTAACTTTAAAGTTATTTTTGCGGGATATTTTCATTAGAAAAAATTCACAAAAAACCATAAATTTCAAGTTATCAGGAAAAAAGAGTTAGAAATGTTCAAGTGTCTAGACCACCTGGTCACTTTATGGTTGTTGTTTTTTTTCTTTACAAAATCATATACTACACTTCTTATCTACATTACTCTCTCGCATAAGTAAAGTGAATATGCACATATGTGCAATAAGGCAGCCATAAGCAATTTCAATTACAAGCTGCAAACCATTCAATTCAATCAGTTTTACAGCGAACGCGAATGAAGCCACTTGAACCGAAAACGGAATATGTGAATAATGCATAATATAATGTAAGCATTGATGTGTGCGCATTATACTTAAAAGTTTTAGTTAGTGATCATAGCGAACCGGGCATTATTGCCAATAGTATAGAGGCGAAGTGCGCAAGCTAAGCAAAACAAAATGCACGTAAGTGGCTTCAATAACGAAATGACCAAATGAAGACAAAAGTCATTGAAACAAGGGTAACATCGTACACTTATTTGTAGTGGTGTATACATATATATATACGCATATATACATCTATACATATATATACATATAGATGTGTATATATATAAATACACATATATATTACCATAAAGGCACACATCTGTACTATATAGTTGTGTGTGCGTAGATGGAGCAGCTAACAAAAATTAATTAACACAGCATTCAACAAACGCAACTGAAGCATATTAATACATAAACACTTATTTTTTATATGTACGGATCTGTGTGTGTACAATATTGAAAAAAAAGTAAATGATATTCAAGTCAGAAGTCGAAGTTTCATATCCCAACAGAAACGTGGTCGATAAATCCATCCAGAGATGACAACCATCTTCGCTCAGCTTCTGCCTAATCATTACGCTCAGAACAATTCCCTATCAGAGTGCGTAGGCTCGATATCTCGTACATATATGATTACGCAAAAGTATGTGTTTGAACGTGTATGTGTGTGTGTGTGTGTGTGTGTGTTTATGTATGTAATTTATTATCAAATGTATTATTTTCTTTTTTAAGTAAATTTGTTATCGAAATATTTGTTGTTGTTTTTTGTTCGTCTTCTTGTCTTGGCTTTTTATTTTAACCATATTAGATACACCGCTTTGGGTTCATTCAGCGTGGCTATGCTCGGCTCATCGACATATGTGCGTGCGCACTCGCTGTGAAACAACGCGTTTTACTTATTGGCGGGAGTTTACTTGTGTAATTCATTAACTGAAACTAAAAACATCATACTTTCATGTTTAGACATATCTGACAATAGCTCTTGCAATTAAAAATGTAATAAAACTCTTCTTCAGAGAGTTTAATAATTAATGCATTCTTCTGCTAAATTCACTTTTTCTTCTCCACTCACATATTTTAGTTGCTGTTGAGTAAACAAGAGCAGTAAAAATAATAAGAAGTAAAATAATAAAAGGCAAACGGTACTAATAGTAGAAAACGAGTAGTTAGTTGGATATGAAACTGGTGCCAGCCTTCTTCAGTGCATTGCTTCAATACAATATTATGTGACAGACAAAAATAATCATATGTAGCTAACGTTAAACAAGAAACCGAACAAGAATGCAAGTGATTGCAATAAATATAATTTAATTAAAGTGTATTGATAACCGCTTTTCGAAATGCAATTTCGTAACGAATTTTTAAAAAAAATAAACAATTTTTTGCCGAAAAGGTGTTAGCAATTCGCAATTGTCACTGCTGTGTTCATAAATATAATTAAAGATTTTCCGGACACTTTAAGGATGAATTCAAAGACTTTATTTAATTAATTTTTGCACTAAAAGGCACTACCAGCAAACCAAACATGGGTAACCAAAAATATTTAATTTTTAAAAATAATTAAAAAGTAATTTAATAATTTTGCATGTTATCAAACTATTATAAAATCCTGGTTTTTTCTTTTCAAACACTGTAGTGTATACCATTTAAACTACTTCTAAGCATACCATCATACAACGAATGTGCGGATAAAATACCTGAAGAACTAATAATTAAGTGAATGTCGAATCTTGTTTACGCCACTTTCATCTCGCAACTAAGTTAACGACGAAATGTTATACAAATAGATTCTCACTATTGGGCATATCCATACAGATTATAGAAAAAATTCTTAATTCTTATGTTAAAGGTGCTGCAGCACTATGCGTTGAACTTGATCCTCACAAATACTTGCGTCAAATATTTTGAAAAATTCATTATTTTCGGTTTATATTATATTAGCTATTAGAAATCGCCTCCCTCTCATCCACTCTGTCTACTATACGCTTCTCACATTTGATCGAAGCAGTTAAATTAAGTCAACTGTCCCTTCTTGTGTGAGCTGAAGGAGGGCGAGACCATTTTTCAAAGGGGCAAACGTATCTAAGTAATCTCTTGCCAAGGCAAATATCTGAAAGTTACAGACGTAATGACAGATCTGATATACGACCATTTTGGAGCGGTGGGTATTGAAAAACACAACAAGTGCATATTTGATAAAAACATGTAAAATTTTGTTTTATAAAAACGAGATCAACACCGTTTAACAACACTGCGAAGCGAATACTTGGAATATCAGCGCTTTGTCAGTAACATGTTATATACAATTTTGTTGCATTTCACGTATTGTTCAATTGCATGATTTTGTAACATTGTTTAGATATCTATTACTATCGAAACGATTCAAAGTGTTTCATCTGCCATTACACAAGGCGAATTAACTAATGTTTGCAAGACATGATTAAAAACTTGACGGACTCTTGAAATTATCGCGAATTTCTTATTTTTGTTTGGTTCCCACATTCCCAGCAGTATTTGTCCTTTCCGGGGTTATGAAGGGTATCCTAAAAGTCACGCAAACTTTGAATTAAATATTATACAAAACGCGGTTACTTTTTTCATATATAATTGCTTTATGGAATCATAATGTATATAGGACAGGGTGGTGTGTACCGTAGCACATCGAGCAAACGGCCCCCATGACCAGCAGCGTTGAATCTTCGCCATCAATGCATAGATGGTTGTGGGCTTTTTGGCATCGGATTACCTGTCATATTGTCATGTTTTCTTACCTTCGCTTGTATTATAATTGTGCATAAAACTTTTTACCGTTCCATGAATATCTAAATAATACGAAAATAGGAGAGTTTAGGGTTAAGGAGCAAAGACTTGGATTAAATTAAGGCATGTAATGAACAAATCTAATTAACTATAGTTTTGTGTTTGTTGTATTTTTGCTTAAACTTAGAATGGTTACATACAAATCGGATAAACAAGCGGTTGCTATGTCAAAAATGAATTCAGTTCGTTCACGTAAAGCCAATGGCAGCAACTCCTCAGAATTTCATTTACTGGAAAGCGATCATCACGAATCCTCCTCCAGTGTTAGCCGCAATTCGATTTACAAATTGAAAATCGATCTTATGTTTGATGATACAAGGTAAGTAACTTATAGTATATTGAGGTTTTTTCCTTTTATCTTTTATATGAAGAGATCCAAGAATATTAGTGAGCTGCGATTATAAAAGAAAGTAAATGGAAGAGAGACGTTAAAATCATGTGGAATATCATCAAGTTTCTTTGTTAAAATAAAACTGAACCATGTACATAGTTCAAGAAGAAGCATTCGGCTTGAATTTGAGAAACCGAACGATAGACATGTAGGTTCATCGGAATACTGTCATCTGAGTTGGTTCCGTATATAATGCCCGGATCGACTATGTTCGCATGAGACCACAGCGTCATTGTACTATATATTGGACGAAACATAAGAAGGGATTTGACCTTATTTTACGAGAAAATTATTACTAGTAATGTTTATAAACTTTAAGGTTGCGGTAAGCGTTTAGGTTCGTCTGAGAAGCTTGTAACTTATGCTTTTCTTTTCAAAAAAACATTTTTTTTTTGCGTTTTTTTAGTTCTTCTCTTCATTTGTTTTTTCTTGCTATTGTAAACCTTGAAATTATTTTATTTATTTTTATTTTAAAAAACACTGCACATGCACACATACACAATCACTCGCATATGCGAGTTGTGTCTGTGCGTGTGTTTAATGCTTTACTAAATTACTCACTGTGTTTCAGCTGGTAGTGGAAAATACTTCTACTATGGTTTTTAAAGTATTTTAATAATAAATTTATGGTTATTGGCCATCAATTATACCGACCTCATTTAAGCGGTTTTTATTTTCTCTTTTTTTTTCTAAAAAGAACAAATAAAAATGTAATCATCTACTCTATTATTTTAATAACAAAATACATCCAAAGAGATTCCTCTGAAACCGGAACGCTGTTCTTATTGTGGTACTTGAACTTTATTATAACGATCGATAAGAATTTTTGTGTCAAATAGCGGTTTATGTTATGTGTAAGAGACATAACCAAGGCACAAACATTTTATAACGTTGAAGCTATTAAATTTAATGTCTTTACGAAAGTAAAAAAAAAGCAACGAATACATTTAGCTATTTCTTAATATGTCCTATAAAAAAGCTATGGAAAGTGACGACGAAGACTGCCATCTTCGATATTTACAAATAAATGAGCAATAGAAGCTGGTGCACGTTTCACATCATCGCATCCTGTCAGATCGTTGAGAAAAGTTCACTAACGCTCTAACTTACCGAAACTGTCTGCAAATATAGAAAAGCCTGTCTAATCACTTAAAAAGGCCCTTGTGTTTTATTCTTTATTGTGTAAAAATTCACTTCACGCCACTTTAGCAATTACAGGAAAAACATATGGTCTCATCACAACACCTAAATGTGTGTCTGATTGTTCCCATCCAATTTACACAAGAGGAGCAGAGGGCTAAGTATTTGCTTGACAGCACAAAATCCAGTGAAACTGAAATGTTTGTAGCTTCCCTAAAGGCAAATTTTTATCGTTTCGATCTTCGAATCTTCCTATTCACATAGAGTTTAGTGGTCCCCTTGCAATGCGGGAAAGCCAACTTGTGTCGTTATCCTACTCCTTTGAGATTGCCTTATAAATACTTTTATTATCCGACAATGAACAGCCTTGACAACAGATTTTGTACATAGGTCGACCTAAGAAATCGTAATTTTCGTTTGCCAGAGACCCACCTCCTCCTCATCTCCTGCAATGTGAACTTCAACTTTGATGATTTTAAATAACTTTGCTCCAATGAAGACGAGAAGATTTCTGTACCTTATATTTGGGACAATGTATATTGGTGGAAGCGTAATGTAAGCAAAAAATATTCCTTCGTTGCCGAAACATGTCAAAGGACGTTATCAACTGACGATCAAACTCTTTAATACTCAAACTCTTTAAAACTCTTTAAAACTCTTTATATAGTGAAAAATTTTGTCTTAAAGTTTTAGTTGCAAACGATTCCATTTAAAACCTCGAACAACTACGTGCTGAGTGTTGCATTCGTATGTCGTAAGTCGTATCGTAGATCTTCTACTGCACGTTTATCAATCAACTAGCGAAAATGAGCTACATCCTCATCTCGGGACATGCTTACAATGTCTAGTATTAAAATGTTTATTTACTTACTTCTTCTTATCATATTCTCGACTTAGACACAAGGATCATTTATTTGTTTTCTGCTCATAATCAGTAGATCAGTTCGAAGCAATCGATTAGACGATCCACGAGGTTCGCATCGTACTCGCTCAATCATTATGTACGGACGCAGTGAATTGGCCAGCACTGCAGGCGAAAGTGCTCGCTCAATTACAAGTTACTTGCACGAGTCAAGCGAGGCGTCCAAAATGTTGACTGATAATACTAAGAAGGATGTGCAACGCATTAGCAATAGTGTACAAGCGCAAATCGAACAGTTGTTCACTGATGTTGCTAAAGATGCGACCAGCAGCTTTCCGGTCACCTGCTTAGGATCATTGCCCTTAAAGGAAAAAGTTACCAGTCTACAAGGCTTACAACAGCCTTTAAGAGAGCTGTATTTCCGTGAGATGGCTGACAAAGTAAGCCAAACTAGTCATTTATTTCTCGAAGCTTTATGCTTATATATATTCGCATATATATATATATCTTTCAGACGCAAAAATCTGGTTTTTTAGAAATTTGTGCTAACGGCTTGCGCATAAAAATTAACTCAAATAATGGCAATAATCGTCGTGGAGCCAACACAAATAATGACGGCCAGATAACGCCGTTTCATAACATAGCGGTATGGTCTGCAGTAAAGTTTGTCGTGTCTAAAGAAGACGGTGGCGCAGCATTTCTGCCACTGATTACATCACCTGAAAACATTGATAAGAATTCTTTGTTTCAACCTCTCAGGTGCGTATTGCGTACTGTGTATCCATATAATTATCCGAAATTACACAATTTGTTGCAATTATAGATTTATATATATAAACTGAATGCATTTACGAGATAATCGTTTTAAAAAGCTTAACACTGCACAAATATAAGTGCGTACGGTTGTGTGCATTAAAATATAACAAGTTTCCTCTTAATGATTGCAAACTAAAAATATGCACTGTATTGCCTTATGTTTTAGCTCACCAGAGCAGCAACGTTTATCGAGCAATCCTCATGCACCAATTTTTGCGGTAGTTATGCGCTCTGCTGAAGTTTCCAAAATGCTTGAATGTCATGGTTTCATTTGCAAAAGCACCGAAGACGCTATTGTTATTGCAGCTACACTCTATCAAAGTCTTATGTCACATGTTAGCTCTAATACCCATCGCAGTACGAAACGGCGTACACCGCGTAATCAAAATGGAGTCAGTTGTATGAGTATTGCAAGCAGCTCAGGCTTAACTGGTTCGAATTATCATCAGTGCTCACAACATACAACTGGGGATCGCAAAACTTCACTCCGAAGTTCGGGTGGTAGCGTCTTGGCTGCGCCAATAACATCACGTTCTAGTCGTAAAAAGCGCGTCTCCAGCAGCTCATTAAGCTCGAGTAGTAATATTATCAACGAGGGGGCAGAAACCACAACTGAAGAGAGGAAACGTAAGTCCCACAAAACCAAACGGGCGCCTCCGATACCAACTTCAATACCCGCAGAGATCGACCGTAAATTAAATACTGGCAGCCATAGTAATTCGAGTATATCAGATGCTATTAAGAAATTTGAAAGATTGTCAGCAAACGAAAAAAATTCCTATCGTTCCCAATCAATTCATCCGAGAAAGTCGACAGTTGATTCCGCTTATAAAGCATCAAAAATAATTGAGGAAGTCAATTCACAACCAGTGGCCATTGGTGACACGCCGGCAAATACAACTGGACTTCGCAGTAACGATAATAATGGTGATATCTTGACACGTGTTGCAATACCGAGATCCGGTAGCTTCCTGAACACGGGAGGTCTTACGCGGTATAAATCCAGAGCAGCACGTCGTCACACGGACAAGTTAAATGGTGGTGGTGGCGGTGGAGGCGGGTAGGTATATGTACACATAGTCGCAAGGAAGACTCATATATACTTTCAGCGGGACTCAGTTTGGCAATTATTTTTTTCCATAAATTTTGTTTTGAATTATGTTTGTAGTTCTCCACTCGGTTTCAGTGAACTTTTCAACGAGTTCCGCTTGCATGAAAATCTGCATTCATTGGATGAGATCCTCTATGCCATAATTGATGCTGATGGCATGTCATTCAACGATTTGAAACCGATATATAAAGAGTTTCTGCTGAAATTGGCAGTTACCTTGACAAAGGATGAATTGTTTCAACGATCGAAAAATATTATGCGCCGTCAGAGAAAAAAAAAACAAAAACGAAAGACAAGCTCGAACGGTTCACAGGTTAGTGCTATTCTCGCGAATGTACACAAACTTATCTCTCTGAAACTCTTTAATCCTTTGATTTGGCTCCGTTGTAGAAAAAAGTGAAAACAGCAATCTTTGGTACAAAAAATTTAAAAAAGGTTTTTCAGTTGGGCCAGTTTCGCTCCTGTCGTGGAAAGTCGTCGAAACCACCACGTAACAAGGAGCTGGCCAACCAACGTAAATCCGAACCGCCGCCTATTACTATTATACAGTCGCCCACAATTACATCCCGGCAGAATACTCATGCCCGGCATCACCAATTACATCAATCCCAACAACACCAGCGCAATCGACTGACTACGAGCGGTTCAGATGTTTCAGTTGTTCAGCAAGAAAACGCCTTTCTCGGGATGAATAGAAACAGTAGCAGTGGGTAAGTAAAACCAGGCACAAGTTTACTTCAACATTATGAAAAAAGCTTTAAAATCTTATGTAATTGTGATAATCGCAGATACGTATCATGTTCCGAATGCAGCTACGACTCGGAAGCTTGCACTTGCACGTCTGCCGACCGATGCTATTGCAGTTTACGTGCGAAACAAATCAATAACTATTTGCGACGAAAAACCGATCGGAAGCATTCTAAGAAATCGGAAAAAAATAAACTTAAAAATAATAACAACAAACGTAGCTCTTACATTTCCTGTAAATCGGACGAAAAATGTTATTGCTCGATGGTAGAGGAGGAAGATCGAAATGAGAGCGGCGAGGAAGACTCAGGTAATATTCACTCCGATACCACCTGGTGTGACACAGATAGTTGCGAAAGTGCCAGTAAATGTTACTGCAAACAAAATGAACGGAAGCACATGCACAAACGAATAGAAGAGAATGTCAGAGACCAGTCCCACAAGTCGCGCTCAAACGTTTGCAAAACATTTGACAAACTGGGTTTGGACTACGAGCTTTTTAATATTAATGCAAATACAAAATCGGTGGAGCCACAAGAGGCATTAAGTGTTAAGAAAAGTGTTGAGGCGGCCGCTATCTTTGCGGATGTGAAGCTTAGCCAAACAACTGATATTAAAAGTCTTTGTAAGGGAAATGCGAACTCAAAGGACGTAGGCAGTTGTCGCTCGCACTCGATTGCAACACGCAAACTGTTAAATTCGTACCGGAAACGAGAATCGTTTAGCATAGGGCGACACAACGAACGTAATACCGCCATTCGATCACTCTCGTCAAATTCGTCGCAAAAGTCGTGCAGTGCCGACGACTTGTTGAGTAAATTGTCATACATCGAAAAGAATATTGCTCGGGCGGCGTCAGTACATAGTGGTCGCAGTAAAACCAAGGAAATTATACTGCGTGAGAACTTCCAAAACAATTATCAATCAATGCGTGCGGTTAGTGCCTCATTGGAAGAGACTCTAGGATATTTGCCATAACATTTTCCAAATGTCTTTTTCTATTATAATTTTTATTTTCACAGTTACATGCATTTAAGTTATGACTAATTTATTTAATATTTAATGTACACACAACGCAAGAATTTATGTTTCTTCGTGTTTTTTGTTTGTTTTTTTTTTTTTTTTTTTTTTTTGTTTGTACATATTTACGTCAATCCATAGAAGCTTATGTTTCGCAATGGAATTGCTCGTACACGCACATACACATACACAAATGAAGATGTTAGACGTAATTCTATTGCGAAACGTAATCACTATTTAGAAGAAAAAAAAGATACAATTTATTTTATATTTACTAGACGTTTATACATATATTTATTATTTGACCGTAACATTTACAGCTTTTCATTCGAATTTTGTGCAATATAAATGCCAATTAATAAATATTTATATGCTAAGTAAGTTGCAATGTTTTTTCCGCTTCCATATGTGCAATAATAATTTCCTACATAATTTTATTCTCTCGAACACTTGTGTAATTTAACTCTTTGCTCCTGTAACTGCAATTTTTAAAGTGCAATATATACACGGATTATTAATAATTTTTTATTATATTGAATTTTATTTTATCCTAGACTGCTTGGTTAGTTCCCTCCAATTACTGCCCATGCGCACGCATTCTTTCAACAAATTGGCAAATCTGGGGCAAGCGCGAAAAGTAATTTGCTTTTGTTCAAGCTCTCAACAAAGATAAGCGGAAGCTATTTTTGATAAAATTTTAAAGCTACATAGATGAAGAACACCAGTAAACCAAAGACCAAGTTATTGTGCATGTGCGTGTGTATGCTTATAATTTCATTCTCTCCTAATGAATGGTCATACTTTTTTGCCCCTGAACAAGTGCTGGACAAAAAAATTCAAATATCGACGGGCCTTCTTTGCTTATATTTCGAATACCTTCACAAAGAAACTGGAAGTTATCTCCTGATTAATTAGGTTTTAATTAAATTCTTATTTCAATATCCCTGTTAATCTACGATCCACTAAATTTGTAGCTAAATTGTCTTCCTAACAATCTCCAATTCTTCTGTAGCAGTTGGTGAGACATCCCCACAAGCAATTGCAATAATGATAACAACTAGGAATAGAAATAATGAAAGGAATTTCTTAGACGAGCAACGACAACAGAAAGAGAAAGAATTAACGAAAATATAATGCATTTGGAAAGAAACTCTCTCTTCACAAAAGTAAAGCAAGTCAATACGATCCGCGCTCTCGTTTTCATTCTTAAAGCAGGCAGCAGCTCTTTTTCTGATTTCAGATTTCTCTGCTCTAAAAGAGCAAGCAATCAAACGAACTGTGAAGCTACCAAGACAAAAACTGGTGCATTAAGAAGAGTCTAATCTAGACACTCGTTTTTCTATTTAAAGCAACAAAGCTGTTTAATGGCACATCTTGTTTAATTAGTTTTCTTTGAAAAAAAATTACAACAATTTTATTGGGTTTGGAAAGAATTATTGAACACCTATGGCTTCCGTGGAGAACTTCAAATAAGCAAGCCGTTATGCGATTGAGCGAAATTCGCTACTTTTTTATTCGACTACATTTCCGTTTCTGTGCCTTAGCAGAATTAATGCTAAAGAATTTACAGTCTAACTTTAAGCTCTACGGAGGTTAGAGGACCGCTCACGGAATACCACTTACCTCGCTTAGAGGTACCTCTACCTCAGGCCGATCTAAGTAGATATCAACGTGACTCCTGGCTGTTGGGTACGGCTTGTCGGTGGGCATTGTGCTGGCCGTAGTTTTCAAATATCACCAAAAGCGAACGAAAGGCCCCAACGCTACCCAAAACGTGATTATTGGGCCACACACTTTAAATTGATCTGGTACTCGAGGCGCCACGAGGCCCCTTGCTTAAAGAGATGGTCTAACTATGTGTAGGCTGGTTCACACTCAAACAACCCGCCTTGCTCTATCAATACGTGAAATGTATTAGAAGGCCATTATATACGGAACAAACCAGTGTTACGAGCACTAAATTAATATTATTATTGTTAGAGAGTGATATATGGGCTCCAAGAGCATTTATGCCAGATTTGTCTTCAATAAATGTGTCAATTAAATTTTTTTCATTTTTAGCATTTTTAACTTTTGCATCACATAATCGGATGACACTTGTAGACGAATATTACCCATTTTCATATTTTTATGTACATCTTAATATAGGTAAAGAAATTTTTCTATTTTTGTGATTATAATTTACTTAGCCCAAACAAACAATTTCATTTATTAACGTAAGATGAATACTGGCAACTAAGACTGGCGGCTCTGGTAAAAAAAAATTAAATTGGTAAAGGAGTCATCTTAATAAAAGTTAAAGCCAGACAGATTCCCAGATTTGGTCGTAGCTACACAGTTTGGACTACGACCACCTTTAAAGGAAGAATTTATATTCATAATCATAAAAAAAACATAAAATTCGGCTTTCTTTGCAAATATATGTCTTTTATTACTATCATTGCTATTATAATTAATTTAGCAAGAGAAACAAACGCCAAGACTAAAGTCTTAAAGCACTAGCGTCTAAGACGATCGGCTTTATTTCTTTTAATCTATTATTAATAGTGATAATAGTGAATAAACTGAAGATCAAAGATTTTCTAAAAAGACTTTAGATGATTCGTTGCTTCTGCATGTCACATACGGCATGTTGTGGAAAATCTCTTGTGTATGCAATAGCGAACAATCTCATAGCAAGAGAACAGGGAGATGATAAGCAATTTTCGGCATTAGCGTTAAAAAAATATTAGAGTGGCGCGCTGTTTTAATGTTACATAGGTATGTTAAAGCATTTAACGTCAATGTGAATATCATTGCCTTAGGTGACAAACAACATAAATATTGCATTGAACAAGAAGCAAATTGTGCTCGTTTTCCCCAGCTTTTGCACTTATATATATCGGAAAATGGTCAATTCCATTCCTAAAAGTTCGCAAAAATACGTTTAGAAGCCCAATTCCTCGAGTCCCCGCACAAAGGTACTTAAATTTTGTCGGCACAACTTTCTCTCGTGAGGTATTACCTCAACAGATACAAAGCAAGAATACAGCTTGTATCCCTCATGTACGTACGGCACGCAAGAGAACTAGTCATCATTGCTATCCTCCTTACGTATACATATGCGTGACTTTGGTCATCATTGAGAGCCAACACCCATTATCATGGAAGAAGACTTTAAAAATTCGCGCTGGCTTTCTTGTGTGTATTAAAGGCAATGTTGAAATTAATATATCGGCGCAGTTGCAGACATAATAACCCGAAATGTTTCTAAAATTTTGCAAGTGATTTCTACTAAAAAAAAAACTTTCATGTGGTGAGCGATCGGGCGATTGCGAGATGAAGGGCAGTGCAAAAATTTCCTTGTGACCCAGACAGATAACCGAGCATACCATCAGAAATCGAAACGTGAGAAGACACATGGTAGTATAATTTATATTTATTCTAATTTTTGACCCCATTTAATAGGGAGCTTGTAAAATCTTCTTTACAAGTGTTTTTTCTTTCCAAGTTCAAGGTCTTTTTTCTATTTTGCTAAAATCTTTCCTTTCTATTAATTATCAGATGTGAGTGCATATTCATATGTACTTTTTTTTCTATATTTTCAAGTTTTGCTTTTGTAGATTAGTTAGTAACATTTGGTTTTTATTTCTCTCTCTTCTATTTTTCCTTCAACTGTTTAATACGAAAGTTTTTATTAGTTCTACTGCTTGAACTTAATTTCAGTTTGCTTCGATTATTCAAATCAGTCGTAAATAATATGAGTGTCACCTCACCGGATAGTGTTTTTATTGCCCGTTCAGAAGGTATCTCCGCGGAAGGAGTTCGTGACCAATACGCGGACGGTAGGGCCGCTAAAGTATGGGAAATTTTCATCGGTGATAAAAACTCACGTACCGATAATTATAAAAAATTTTTAATAAATTTGTTAAAGTCTAAGAACTGTAAACGCATTTTGGATGTTGCCTGTGGCACTGGGTGAGAATTGTCTTATTTCTATCTCATGATGATCGTTATTTTTTTGAATAAATATATGGCAGTGTCGATTCGATTATGTTATTGGAAGAGGGTTTTGAAGTTGTCTCAGTCGATGCTTCTGATAAAATGTTAAAATACGCTTTAAAAGAGCGTTGGAATCGCCGAAAAGAGCCAGCCTTTGATAGATGGGGTGAGTCTTTAACGTGAGAGATATGAAAATGTTACACTAATGTCAATAAATTCTAATTACATATGTTTAGTCATTGAAGAGGCCAATTGGCTAACTCTCTATAACGATATAAACGAATTCATAGGAAAAGGTTTTGATGCTGTCATATGTTTAGGCAATTCCTTCGCCCATTTGATGGATTCTAGCCCTGAGCAACGCGAGCACAAGAAAGCCATTCGAAATTTCGAAAAATGCCTTAGGCCGGGTGGCATGCTTCTGATTGACCATCGTAATTATGATAACATCTTAGAAACTGGTTCGACACCTGCCAAAAGTCTGTACTATAACGTAAGTAAAGTCATCTTTGTAGACTTGAAAAGCCTTTAATTTAGACAAGCTATGTATATAATATTAAGAATTATTTCTTAATTATTTAAGTACGAACACGAAAATATCAAGAGGAGAACGGGGTATTAGTTGCAACTACTTCTAATTGAAACTATTTCTATTTCGGTATTGCGTTATGTATGTGCGTACATACACAAATGCCTCTCTATAGAGATGTATACATCAGATAATAACATGACCCCTTTTTAAAATATGATTAGATTATTAGTTTTTGTCGATTTAATGCCGAAATGGAAATAACTTATGCAGCATGTATTGCATTAACAGGCTTATAGCTTTACCGAAATCAAAATTGAAATCAATTCAAATATTTGGCAATAACCTACGATGACCATTCTCGATAAGACAGACCAATGCTTCCATTGTGAATCCACAATGACATGAAAGAGACGCGTAAAGCTTTACATATTCTTAGACCTCTATCAAATGACAGCCTCAAAGCGGTCAGTGAAGCTTATAAAGTATTTGGCCGGTATTTTATATCAATCCTGACAAACATTTGCACCAACCTTTAAGTCAATAGTCATGCGATGTTTCCTCTACCTGGAACTTTAACCATTTCTCAACTTGAACTATAACCACCATGTAAGAATACGTATGTAAGATTTCAAGCATCGCAAGCACTTCAACAATGGAGGGACGAACATGTATACGTAAATAGGCCCAAAATCTTACATTAATCAAGAATATATGGCTATAAATGGAACGTCAGAATATATTAGCAGGCAAGTGTGAACTCTGCCTGACGATAAAACCGGAAAAGACCTAAAAAAATGCAAAGGACGGTCGGCTAGGCCATATACAATACACTACTTCGTCCAACGCAAGTAACGGAAAATATATAATATTGTGTGTATTATACATATGTTACATATATAATATTAGGTGAAGATTTCAGTCAGTTCTAAGTATTACGTTTACTGCATCGTTTTCTTGATAGCCCTTACATACTACGTAGAAGGAAGCCCAACTTTAGCAAATTTGGAAAAAGAACTACATTTTAGGTCAAAGTACCAAATATTAGACTGTGCTCCCCTATAAAATCATACTTTTAAAAAGAAGCCTTATATGGGATAGGGTTGAAAAAGTAAACCTACGCAGTGCAAATTTTGCGAAAGTTAACTACTATTACGGACCGACTTGTTTTTACTCTTTAAAAGGTCTATCGCAGTCCTTGCTTTTCAAAATTTTGAAGCAAAATTCGATACCATAGGTGCACCTCCTCATATTACTAGTGTGGAAAAACAAGAAAATTTAATTATTTCACAATGAGTTTCTTGCAAAATCAATAAAAAATCTAAAGCTTTTTTCTTTCGCACCTTTCAGACAAGCCATACTGCTGACATTAAAACATCTGTTCTGTTTTATTGCGGAAAACCGGCGATGGTGACAATGGACTACGTGATTGAGGCCAATAATTTGACAAGTGAGTTCCGCTTATCGTACTATCCGCACGAATTAAAACGGTTCAGCGAAATTCTGAAGGAGATATTTGGTTCTAAAGCTAAACATCAATTGTTCGGCGATTTTAAGAGTCTGAATGACATTAAAAATCCCGCATTTTATATTCACTTAATCGAAAAGAATTTAAATTAATTGCACACAGACGAATATTACAATAATCCTATCAGAAAGCTTTTGATATGTTACGATTATTGATTAATAATTGAAAGCAGCGCCCGCGTTCTTTTATTAAATTTAATTAATTGCATTTGTTATATACGCACCTCTGCAAAGGGAACATTTATCATTTGTTTTCTAATTCTTTTATTTCATTTCTACTTTGCATAATTTGCATAGCGAATAAAAAAAGCGACCTGCGACTTTCCTGTCTTTTTCTTTTATTATCTATAGAAACAAAGGAGAGGAATATATATTTATTTACATTTGTTTTAACGTATACAACTTAGATTACTTTAATACAATAATAAATATTTGTTAAGTATCACCCCGAAAAATAGCGCCACTACAGCCACTTCGAGAACAGCGTTCGCATTTGTCTTAATATAATTTGACATTTTCACATAAAAGTTGGATAATTTTGTTAGAATAATTGACACCATGTTGCGACAAATATGTATGAGAAAAGTAATCAAAATTAAAATTGAATTTATGTTGTTTGCACGTGTACGAATGTACGAATGTAGGGAACACTGTGTGAAAACTGACGGAAACTAAACGACTGGAAGACCGACCTACTGCACAAGCAAATGAAAAGGTAAGCTCATAACGTTTAAATATTAGAACTTCTCTTTGCAATCAATTACTCGGGAAAGAGTAAGCTGGAATGTAATAACGCACCTTACAGAGAATTCTGCATATTCGCACAAGGGTAAAATATGTGATTTAACGCTTAGCGAGCAGAAGCATGTAAAAAAGCAGCAGAAAGATAATCTCAACAGAAGTTCTCTCTCTCCAAGTTTAATTTTGAAGAGCGGTTTAGATTGCATGATAGCCAAAGATGACCAGAAGCACATGAAACAAAGCCTAATGATGTTGATGAGAGAATAGGTTAAGAATTGCTCCTCAAGGCAAACTATATATATTTCGTGGCCTATCCCAGATTTTTATTTCTAATCCGTAAGTCGGAATGCGACGGTGAGTAGGAAAGCGTTTATAGCATTAGTGCCGGTTGCGTTTTTAAAGACGTACATAACAATGACATATGAATATGTCACTCGCCGAATAAATTCTCTCTGGTGTCATACCGTTAATTTCGGCAGGATAAACCTAAAAAACCAGAGCGGCAAAAAGGTTCTTGCATTAACTATAATCTAAGATATAAAAATGTTGTTGTGGTTCAATTTTCACACGAATTTTATTCATCTCTTCTTTCTATAGTAAATAAAGGCAGCTTCTGAAGTTTAAGTGTAATGTCCTCTACAAACTTCAGATGTTCAAACTTAAAATCTGTTGTAAATTTATAATTTCGCAAGAGTTTCGCCAAAGTAATTTTAGTAGATAGCAAGGCGTACTTCCACCCTAATGAAAAAGTTAAAAAATTAGTTTAAGCGAGTTATTAACAATTTGTAAATTTACCTATGCAGTATCGTAAGCCCTTTGTGAAGGGAATAAAAGCGTACGAGTGTTTATTTTGCAAATTAGTGGAAAGGAAATTATCCGGATTAAAAGTCTCAGCTTCGGGACCCCATATATCTTTGCGACGATGCATATTAAATATATCAATAGCAATTTGTACGCCGCTTGGTAATGTTACGCCGTTCGACAGTTTAATGTCATTCATTGTTTCTCTTGCTACCAGCGGTACGGGCGCTAAGACGCGCATGGTTTCATTGAGTACCATGTCCATGTAAATAAGATTTTGAGTATTATTGTAAGTAATATTCACGTTGCCCGTTTCCGGAAATTCCGAAAGTAATTCTTCGTAAACTTTTTCTTGACAATTCGGAAACATAGCCAGCAGCATGAGAGTATAGACAATGGAATTTGCTGTAGTCTCGAACGCCTGCTTATATGAAATGAAAACTAAAAAATTACCAATGCTTGAAGAATTTGAAGCAATTCTTACCCCAAAAACAATAGCACCACACTCATTATCCACATTTGTTCGCGTAAAGCGGTCACATTTAAAATTCTCGATCGCAATATCAATAAATAGGCTGTTATCCGGACTTCGCTCATCGCTATCGTTAATCGAAAGTTGTGCGTTCACCAACTTAAAACAAATTGAGGTTAGAGCGCTTCGTAAATTTACACACAATCTGAATGAATGAAAAACTCACTTTTCTTATAAAGTGATTTATATCCATTCTTGCGCTGCTGTATTTCTTCTGTTTTCCCCTCATCCGTTGTAAAAATTCGCACTTCAACCATGGCGAAAAAACCACATCCGCAGTATTCTCTAATGCACTTGGAATCCGGGCGTTGCGAAGTAAGCATATTATAAAAGGATTAATCTATTAACCCACAATGTACAACAACTCACCTTTGGTAACTTTGAACTAAAGTTTTCTCAAAGTGATCCCTGTTAATCGACATACCTCCCATTGTAGTCCCTGTTGCCAAAGTAATCAAATGTATCACGAAAGGTGGAAAGTGAGACAGAGGTGTACATGTAAGTCACCACAAAACAATTGCAGCCTTTGTTGTATCTTTGATAGCATTTCTTGTTTTAACTTGCACGATTAAGAACGAAGTGAAGAACTCGCCCTATCTACTGCCTGATATCTACTGCCTGATATATGTTTAAGATAACTCTTATATATTGAAGAACTTGACACAAGGTTATAGTACTTAAAGAAAGGGGAAGATCCAAAAGATCTTGTCATTGAAATGAATATGCACCCACGAGCTCATGCAGATGAGCATTTATTTCGCCTTAAAAATGATTTCCCCTTTTTTTGCGATCTTTGCAGGCGATCCGTACTACAATCTTTATAGGAATTTCTATACTCGAGCTGCGTGCAATGCTGTGCGTCACATTTTTCTTCTTCGGCGATTATGTCATCGCAAGCTTTTGGTTATGTAAGCTCCGTAACTTTGTAAACGTGGATTGTTACGTGCGGAGCTTGGACCCCTGAGCAAGACCATTCTATTGATAAAAGTCACTCACTACAACAACCAAAATAATCAACAAAGAGAGACATGGGGCACGGCCCGCCATTGAATACCTTGCATCACTTCGCCTAATACAATAATATATTTATATAACGACTTCTTATAATAAAGCGGTAGTGGTAAGAAAAGTGCTCCGATCTGAACTATTTTCAATAGCTTTCGATCTTGAGCCCGAAACATGTCGCTTCCCACAATCTCATTAAAATATCTCGAAGATTGAGTCGTGTAATAGGTTGAACATAAAAATACATGATAGACAGACAGACAGTTTATTGGCTGGTATAGTAAATGTCGGGGCTATCTCCAGCCCTTCTGGATGTTGCACACACACACTCGTACTTAATATACCCTGCAATGTAGGGTATAAAAAGAAAAAATTATTAGATAAATAAGAGCATTACAATAAAAAGACCTTTGGTGACAGACCTAGAAAGGCATAGGTAAAAAGTACAAAGTAGGAGAAGGCTTGGAATACTGCACTGTAGAGCATACGAAAAGATATGATACTGAAGTCTAATATGAAGAAAATAGTGGGTTTGAAAGCAATAACTGGTCAAATGGAAAAAGACGAGAACAAGGAAAGCAATTGATTTAAAGGCTGTACAAAAGAAGGTGCTGGAGACCCATCAAACGACATACTATTTTCCAAGAAATCTTTTTTCGAAAGCGAGACAATAAGTTGACAGAATTATTCAAGACCGAAAGTGAAGGAATATTCACTTCTCTTAGAAGAAGATAAAAAGATTATAAAATTTACATAAAAAAAATGTGATCAAAGGTACAAGATTTCTAACTGAATGAATTAAAAAAGGTTATTCTACTATATGAAGACTTTCTTACTTGTTGCTAAGCACAGTGTGTACGTTTGCATAGTTTGCATTAAATCCACAGGCCCGTTGCCGGCATATTTATCTAGAGTCAGCACTAGAGCATCAACTTCTTCATTAAATAGTGGGATGAAGCTCAATAGAATCTTGTGATTGAAGGCTGGATTAAATATTTTTCGATGCACACTCCATCTTGGCTCTTGCAAAGTATGTTCTTTATATCAGAATTTTAATTTCATTTAGCGTTAGCCGTGATACATACCTTTTAAACTAAATAAACTTGAGCCGACCGTATAATCCAGCCCATCATATATAAAGCATTTGTTAACGCAGTTCGGTGAAAGAAGTACTTCTTGAGCTATAACTGGGTCACTTATTACAACAAATGGATAAGGTCCCACCCACGAACACCATACAGGCCCATACATTTTGTTGTACACATTTAACTTTGATAGCACTTCTAACGTCAGAATCGTTTCCGCATTGTATAATTCAAGAACAAGGTACAAATGACAACGTGAACAAATTTGTAAGTACCGTTATAGCATTAATTTTCAATTTGAATAATTTCGGAAGTAAAAGAATATCAATTATGTAAAGAATATCGGTTCAATCTTTCAATGTCTACATCCAGAATATTAATAATGTATATATATATATATATATATATATACATATATATAAGAGAGACAAGAAATTAAAGGTCAGCTGAAGCTATACTCTATCTAGCACAAGTTTTATTTATTAATTTATTTTCACTCGAGAAATCTGTTTCAATCATTCATTTTATTGTGTGCTTTTATGGCCAAGTTTATGCACGGACACGGACCAATTGTGATAAAAAAAAAATTATTTTAATAATTTCACGATAGGCATAAAGTTGTTTTTTTCAACTTCACGGTTTTCATAGACGGGGAACAGTATGAAGAAAGTAGAAAATCGAAGTTTCAATGGAAAAGTTCGTATTTTGAAGAGTATATTTTCTTGCTATTGCGACCTATGAACGCGTTTTTTTGACAAGACGCGGGCTAGTTGTTTATCTTCCGAATGAGCCCTTAAAATCGAAATACTGATTTCAAGAGCAACGAAAGTGGCTAAACACAGGACTAAATCGATTCGGAAAGAAGTTCCGAAAATCAGTTCATTTTTCGGTCCTAATTCAAATTCTCTTAATTAGCTTACGCAAATGCTAACGTGGCGATGTTTCTCGTCTTTCAACGACTTGTCTCACGAAAACGTTATGCTTGGTTTGTTGCTGATTTTCTTTCTTGAAATCATGGTCCACTTTTCACTTCAATATTTTGTAATCTTCTTCCACTAAACTTTTTTTTCTAATTTACTTATGTTATATTTATTTCTTTACTTAAAATCTCTTGGACTGACAGACTTTCTTTAGTTTTACTTTGCTTTAATCTTGTTTTGGTAAAATATTTCAAATTGTTTTTAAAGTTTTAATGCGAAATTTCCGGTGAATTCAATTCCAGCACCATATACATTCATCAATATCACACGCACCTTCTCGGCGGATTAGATGGTGAGCCATGCCAATAAATGGGTAACCTAAAGGACCGCGAAGTTTTAAAAACAACGAATAAAATTTTCGCCGAGTCCATAGCCAATAAATCCACAACAGGGTAATTAAAGTAAAATATAAAGACAACGCTTGCATTTCCTAAACGCAAATTTCAAATTTCACAAACGCTATAACTGCACATTAAAATTTATTCGCCTTTTTATAGTTTCGCATCAATGAATCGCATGATGTTTAACTCGCCCTCTAAATCACTGCATGCGAACATGAATTTATATGGTGCTGTAATTAAGCGCCCTACATGGGACCGTTTAATATATGCACTCTTACGAAAACAATAATGAAAAGTGTTTTTCTCAACAAATGCACGCTACGTTTGTATCCAATGGAGGATTTGTGCGTAAACTGACACAGTTCAACAACGTGTGCTTTTCAATTTTGCAACGGACTGAAGAGGGCATCGAAAGGATTTTCTGAATATAATTGACGCGGTATAGAGTAAACATCAGTCTTCAGAACCGATAAAGTAAGAACGACGTCGATTTAATGGTCCATAAAATTGCACTATAACGCAACTACGCGTACAAATAACAATAACAGTAAAGCAATAATCCACATTGAAGAAATTGCTGTCATCGATTACGAATATACATATTATTAATTACTTTGACGAAGTGGTTAGTTTTATAACATTATTATTAACAACTAAATAGATTTGAGCCAATACGAGAAAAGATATATTAATGTTAGCGTCTTATTAGTTGCAGTCCGATCGCTGACAAAAAAAATCGTGTTTTAAGACTTTAATTTTTTTTTTTTTTTAGGAGACGAACCTATACGTGCGAAATTGTGACTGTCAAAAGAGGGAGAGGAAAAGGAAAGGAAAGAAATAGAAGAGTGTTGGCCGCAGCCTAGTGTTATGCTTTTATTGACTGGTAGACCTACTCGGTGGCCTACTCGGGCTACTCAGGTGGATCCTTCACTTCAATGACTTTTTACGTGAAACTATATTCAATGCAAATGCAATATATACCATCTGAGACTTTGCATACGTTTGCTAATATATTGGAATACACAGCTTAATAGAGTAAAGAAGCTACCAATAGTGCCAGCACGAAAAGAAAGAGGTAACGACATTGAGATCTACGGCTATTGCTTATAATACAACTAAATAGTAATAAATCACAAATCCACGTTAGACAAATTATTATTACCTGATTGGAATACATAGCTTGCGTAATTTAACTCAGTGGCCAGTTAGATAAAATTACATATTGATTTCATTTTTATGGCAAACTCGAAAAGCACATACACCAGCTTCACCGCCCTCGCAATGACTCGATCATTTAAAATGCATTCATATGCACGAAAGAGACTTATTCCTGGAGTGCGTCTCCTGTTTATGAATCTCTTAAACAATATGCCGCTGACACCAAGAAGAGAAAGAAGGTAGTTTAAAAAAAGTAATAAGCTTAAAAGATTAGAGTCACAGCTTTGTAAGCCAATTTCTTAAGCTCATCAATGCACTTCAAACTCTGCATAAAAATTGAATAATTTTGGTCGGGGTGAGGTTCTCATCTATCCTTTACTGTCTATCTGCCGTCTTATGGGAGGAAAGATCAAAGGTGTTGCACAACTTAACTAGTAGATAACGACTTTTCACTTAAAAATGAAAAATAAAAATTAAATGAGAAGAAGAAGAAGAAGCGAAATTCATATCATGACTCATCTCTACAATGTTATCCAACTTAATAATTCAAAAAAAGCCGTACATTAATTAATTTCTTTTCCTTCTTTTATGGAAAATCTGCAGCTGCGTAAACGTGCAGAAATAATAAATGAGATGCTTATATAGAAAATATAATATTGGATGTGCCGAAGAGAAATGTTGATCGGTTACATGTTGTAATGTTATTTAATGTTACTAATTAATTGATTTGGTTCCATTTATTTTTAATTTTAGAAACTGGTTTGTGAGAACAGTGTGATTTTTGCCGTCGAAATTATGACATGACTTTAAAATTTTGTCGAAATTAGAAAATGAATGCCTATTAACTGTACAAAAATGTCAGGATAAATTATGAATCATTTTTAAGAGTTGGTTTGGGCAATTTGCAGTTTTTAATATGGCCTTAAACAGTAGAGAAGCAAACCGGCGCGACGTAAGACATGAAGAAATATAGGTTTGATCATCAATATCTTGTTGTGTATGTTTACACTTGCAATCTTCTGTCAATCAATGGATAAAGAATTTTGGTAGTACTGTTAAATTCATGAATAATATAGTTAATCTGGTAGTTAAAGACACTCTTAAGATCCAATATTACACCTAAATACTTGACTTCACTCTTCCAAGGAACATCATTAGCCACAGCCCTCAACTCCACAAATAAAATAGTATTAACTAAAGACATTAAGAAAACTCGTACGTTGTCAGTAGCTGCAAGGTCCGAATACCGTCAACACTATATTTTTTGAACTGCTTGTCCTTTAACCGTAAATAATAAATAAAAATAAATCGTGAATTGCAATTTCTTCCTTTTCCATACCCGCTCTCACTGCCACCGTAAAAAGTTATATGATAAATTTAATTAACTTGGTTTCGGTATTAACTTACTATTACTCAATTAAAATTTTTTTAAAATTTATTCTATAAAAATAATTCTTGCTGTTTTTCTGCTATTAAATAAACCGCTAGGCAACTGTTAAGTTTACTTTTACACTCGCTTTTCCCCTTTTCCCAAAATAGCTTTTCGACATGGAGACAGACAGAAAGAGGGGGAAGCTTGGTACATCATCTTGAACAAGTTCCATCTGGTAACACTTATTGACGGTATTACTCGCTTTTGATTGGTGAGTCAAATTTTGTTTACCTTTAACTTTCGCCTTCCACTATATAATAATGCTTTAATGTGATATGATAATGTGATATGAAATAATACAAAAATAACGATAATGTAATATAATAATGATTTGATTTTCATTAGACATAAACGGGCGCATGTGTTGTGCACGTTTTATCAATACATTCACTTTTAGAAAGGGTGTTAAACTATATCGCTGTGAAATATTTGCGTTTTATAAGCATTACTTTCTGTCTTTAGATGCGTATCTTTTATAGGTGTTAAGTTATAGTGTATTCTTTTGTATTGCACGTGTTTTCATAGACGAGGTACATTAATTTTGTGATTTAAGACTTAAATGGTTTTAGAAAACATTCGCTTTCATTTATTTATTAATAGTTTTATGGCCTTCTGGGAGTGATGGTGATCGGAACACACCCACAACCACTTAAATGCTTGATCTACGATCGCTAATTAAGAATAGATATGTAAAGTTTGGACGCTCGTAGCTGGTCATATGCCTTTAAATGTTTCAAAGAGGGAATCTACTACTTTACATTCATCCATCAGCTCCGGTCGACTAACTGACACATCTACAAGACTTGAAAATAACATTTTTTATAATTTTTTTAGGGGTGAATCGGTATTAAAGATTTGTCGCAAGATGAAGTGTTGGTCGGCCGTTTTCCTATTATTCGCATTCCTTTTAAAGGCACATTTCATTATTGTTTTGTTCTCTTCTCATTTATCGTGATCACATCGATAAGTTGTGTATTTTTCAGTAGGTCTTGCTTTGGAAATTAATTCCAAATGCTTATCACTTTCCTATAAAATGTCTAGATCGCTGATGAAAATGGCCAACGTAAGCTTTGAAGTAATTGTCATTTTTGAAATATCTTTTTCCCAACAATCTCAGCCATTGTGGAAGCTAAGACTGGAATAATATCAATAAACTGATTACTTATATGCAGTGTCTAGCCTCTCGCTTAGGAAGTGCGGATGAGAACTGCTAACCCATATCAAACGAATATTCCTTTGACTTTTAGATTGCATATGTCCTTCAAGTGGAGTTAAAGTGACTATCAGCGTTAAAGGAAACATCCGCCTCTACGATAAAATGCTGAACCCATTGTAGTACATGGAGTTTGTGAAGTCCCTCAAGACTGCTATTCAGTGCTGAGTAAAAAGATTGCCTGTAGCTTTGTTTTAATTTGATTATTTCCACATAATAAAAATATGTATACATATATATGTTTATTAGGCACGCATTATAAAATCTGCAATTGTATCTGAACACATTTACTTTGTTGCTTATGTATGTATATATAATCAATTTATTTTTTGTACAATTACCCTCCTAAGATGTATAACGTTGTAAAAAAATCTTATCATGTAATGTGTTTGTAAGTAGGTATAAAAATAATTCATTTCAGGAGCACAAATATTGATTTTAATTACAATAAAATAATCTTAATTAACGATTAAGTTCTACCTTTTGTTTTTCTATAGATGACAAAATTATCACTGATCTTAATTAAACTAATGATTACATTTTGATTTGATCACGCTCGAGCAATTTTGAATTTTTTGATTAATTGAATGTACTACGGTGCGTAACTACAAGTGAGTATTTACAGTACTTAGTTTAGCGATTCTATGGATTGTTGCAATGCATCCGCTGAGGACTCTGCAAAAATAACAAAGAAGTAGAACAAAGAAAAAAAAGTCATAAAAGAGACTGTTCCATTCTTCAAATAAATAAAAGTTATTATGAATTTTAAACACTTACAACATAGAACGTACAAGACGAGTAAATAAATGTACATATTTATGCGATTAGCTACGAAATATTCAAAAGTATACATTTGTTTGAGCACAAGCAAATACCCTACAGCATGTATATTTAACTTATTAAATGAATGAGCAAAAATAGCGGAAGCGGGGAGAGAAAGAGCTCCAAAATACATTGGGCTTAAGCAAAGCTTTTGTATATTTTGTGACAAGCACTACTTTGCTTACAATTTTGTAATCATAATAACATAAATAAATATATATATATATACATAGACTTTTGAAAAAAGAAACAAAAAATTGCAAGTTAAAGTAATATTTACGTATATAGTACATAGGTAGTTTAGGTGAAATAATAAGCTTAAAGCGAAGCTTAAAGGAAACTTGTATTAAATAACATAAGCATATTTTTTAGAAAAATTTGCAAAATAAATCACAACCACAAACCACGAAATAATGGTAGTATGTTTAAAACAGTTAAAAAACAATATGCTCCGGAAGCAAACATATAAAAATAATTAAGCATAAGGTAGATAGAGATCTATTAGTGAGTTAATCGATATCATTTTCATGCCCATCACCGAAGGACGAAAGTTACATTCATTTTGTCAAGACGTTTGCAGCGCCCCGATGGCAGCATCAATCACCCCACAAACCATACATATACTCTTGATCCGCATCAAATTCTAAATAGATTTGGGCATGACCGTTTGCCCGTTTGTGCGTCTGTTCTTCTGTGTAATGTCTGTTATACACACTCTCCTGGCCGCAACAATGATGCTATCGGCTTTCAATTTGGCAGAAAGATTGGAAGTTGTTGGAAGCAACTTGGTATTGGAAATGGACCAAACCTGTCGTGGGACACGGACACATCACTACGTAAACTGACAACGCGTCTGTCTTCCAAAATGAATAAAAAATTACATTTTTGATCGTTACCCGTAAACTATAGCAATTAAATGTACAACATTTTGAACGCATATTCTATGGGCGATGCCAAACCGCGTTAACTCGATACTAAAATTTAATTATTTTACTTTTTGCATCATTTTTAGAATAACGGCGATGGGTATAAAATATTCGGTTGTGACCGAATATAATTTTCTTACTTGTTACATTTGAGATGAGACTTTGATGAATTCAGATTTTATGAAATTTCAGATTGAAATCGGATAGATTTCAGGGATAGATGGACTAAAGAAATATATATTAAAGAACAGTTACGTTTTTGCGACTCAATTTAGCACAAAAAAAACTAAAGGCATAGCGAGAGATGACTTAAGAAGGGTTTGATTACTCCTTACAGTACGATGATGTTATTTTTCTCGGTTATTCAACTACAAAAAATTCCTTTGCCACTAGCGATGCCTTCTTCTTTTTTTCATTCAGTTATTGATTAGGTGCAATTATGTACATATAAAGAATTTGTTAAATAATTAGCTCATATTATTAATAGACGCAATACATGTATTGGCGTTGTGATGCAAAAGATCTGCAAGATGCATTTACATTTCGTTCTTCAACATTAACTATTAACGTTGACAAGCAACTGTCGGACATTAGAGCTGTATGCGAATTTACAGAAGTGTTAGTGTTCTCTACTACTGCAAGCACAAGCGATAAATTGATTATGATTAGCGTAAAAGGAATGAAAATTTTTTAAGCTAAATTTGAAAGGGAATCAATACCTGTGTCAGCTAAATGTGCCCTGCCATTTATCAAGGCTGTCGGTCTGTCCGGAATTGCATAAGCTTCGGCAGTGAACTTGGAATGTCCGTTCATAAGAGGCAGCTTTTGTGTGCATTCTGAAAGGAAACAAAATCAAACAATGTCTTGAATACTTCAAGTACGTTCTCCATAATCGCTAATGGAAAATTTTAATGGGTTTAGCTATCGCCCCTACCACGACGAATGTTGAATATGGTAAATCCTTGTAAAAATTAAAACCCTTTCAGATTTTCCTTTTGCTGGAAAGCACAGCCAGTCAGATATGTCCTTAAGCTTCACCACAAAGAGCGAAAGTTACGTTAATTATTAATATAAAAAATATTAGAAATGCAAATATTCTTTGTATATTAACACAATCTTTCTCTATTTCGTGCGTGTCATTGCATTTTGGAACTTAATCTGGTACCCAACAATAGTGCAGGTACACTAAAAGGACTAAATCTTGCTAATATTTCCTTTCGTTTCCTAGTAATGAGTATCAAACAATTTAGCGTAGGGCAAACGCAAACTTTTCCTTGCGTGACATTATAAACGCTTGTTAGAAAATGTTATCTTAAGAAAATTTTGAAATGCGGAAAGCATTTTGTTTTGGGGGCTTACTGTTGAGAAGAGGGCTTGACTTGCACCAATTTAACCTTTGTTCAGTGCTTACAAGACTGAAGAATTTTGAATATGGTTGCTATCAACGGATATTGAAATATTGGTATAATAAAACCAGATTAAGCCCAGCTCTTCATGGAAAGTACTCACGTAAGCTCACCAAAAATTCTGATAGCGAATTGACAAGCTTCATAGTTTTCTTCAGAAGATTAATTAAAACATGCCTTGTAAATATTGAAAAATCTTGTTATTATTACCTGGTGTACCGTTTAAAGTTTTACTATCAGTAGATGGTGTTGTCGGCCTTTCGTCTTTAACAAATCGTATGAGGAGCATTACAGCTGAACCTATTATTGGTGGAATACCGGCCATTATTAGAGGCATTGTGTACGAGCCCGTTCTATCGAAGATTTTTCCAGCAACGGGTGGTCCAACCGTTAGAGGAACGGAACTTAAACCCAGCAAGAAACCAATAGCTTGTGTTGCCCCAGATGGCCCGCATATTTCGTAAGCAATCGGTCCCAACAATGAAATGAAGCAGCCATCAAATAAGCCCATTACCAAAGTAAACACAATTAATAAAACGTAAGAGCTCGTAAGTGGCAACAGTAAAGTAATAAGGCCAATGCAAACTAAAGATAATTGCTGCAAATAAATTCTATTGACTCCTCGCATATCGGCAATTGCTCCAAACATTAAACGGCCCATACCGGATGTAATGCCAATGCACATTACGGGTAGATTTTCGCTTCTTCCTGGAAACGCTGTTTGCACAAATTTCATCATATGCACGTAAGGTACAAAGTAACCAAACAAAGCTATCGGTACGCACATAGCCCATATCACGTACTTCTTACATTTCCAAATTTGTACGTTAACAATAGATCGAAAAAACATATTAGTTTTCGACCGGCCTGGTTTCTTCTTTGGTGGTTCTGGTGGTGGATGCAACGGTTTGTAGACAAAGGAACACATTATTATGAAGGTCGAAATTAAGCTCATCATTCTTAGTGTCGCTTCGAGTCCATAACCTTTAAGCATATAGTCCATGCCAGGCGGTAATATAACCGTAAAAACACTTGACCCCGCCGTCACAAAGCCACTTACTTTGCCTAGATAGCGTTTAAAATAGTGTCCTAATATCGCTAATGTCGGTGTATAGGCCAAGGCGGCACCCAAGCCAAACATAATTCCATATGTTAAATATAGCGCAACAATATTTTGGGTAAGAAATGATGACATTAATAGGCCGCCAGCTGACAAAACGCCACCAATGAACGTAGTGAGACGTAGACCGATTTTATCAGTCAAACAACCCGCAACCGGTGATAGAAGAAACGTTGTGCCAATTGTTAATGACCCAACAAGTGCTGCAACAATAAAAAAAACAGTAAAGAACTTACGCAAGTTACAAAAAGTTAAAAGTTCGAAAAAAATGAATCCCTCTGTCAAGACAGTAAAAATTAGGTACTTAAATAAAATTCCGTAATGAAGGAGTTGCCTTCAGAAGCAATTGCTTCAAACAGAAGAGCAAGATCAATTCACTTCACGGAAATTTATATTATGGGTTGGCCATTCGTTCGTAGCTTTCTTTTTTTATCAGTTCAAGCTTTCCCTACATAGCATTGAAAAAAATAAAAGCAAATTCGATAACTCTTTGGCTCTGCCGTTTGTATATACATACAAAATCAAGCATTTTGTTTTTCACTTGTGGTTATCGTGTTTCCTTTAACCCTATCCGGACCGCGTGTTTTTGTAACGAATCATACCACGACGCGTCTCACAGGCTCACAGGCTCACAGGCTCACAAAACACCGTTTTTGAGCTATGAAGAAATGCAAAAATTTGAAGACTAAAGCTTCTTTCTTGCAGTCAGCAGAATCTTAGCAATAGACGAATCTTAACAGAGACATTACAGTTCTGCGTAGGCTTTGGTTCAGTTCATTGCTCTTCAACACATTTCTGTTCCAAATTTTGGATCAATTGGTTGCATTCTGTTCAAGATAATACGGGGTTCTTTTCTGACTACGGGCCTGCGAGGCACACTGTGGTAAAATGGTGCCCCCCCTCCATGCGCTCAATGATTTATGCTGTTTTTCCAGCGCAATACACACGAAATTAATTAAATGAATCGTAATTGATGGGCATTGGGAATAAGCTATCATTTCTCGCTTTCAATTATTTCATTTACTTGTTTAGATTACGCGGCTTTATTCTATAATAGCAGCAGTGTATGCAGAGTTATATGTGAGCAGTTAGGAACAAAACAAAAGTCGTTGTAATAATCAACAAAAACGTATCACAGTATTGATATCAATTTGTGCCATTACTCTAAATTAGTCGTCGATGCAAATATAATAATAAAAAATAAATTATTCTCGTCGTCAACCAAATAGTTCTTTGTTCACTCTGAAAGTGTCGGCCAGTCGACTTGCACCACATTTGCAATCCATTTTTATACTAATTTCTGCGCTAAATTTTGAATCAATAGCTAAAACTTATTAACAACGATATTTCGAAACATTTATTATCATAACATTTTTCCAAATTCTTAGCAACTATAGGTGTGTTGGTGAAGGAATCTGGTGGATTTTCAAATCCAATCTGCATATTTATATCAAGTAGATATGTAAACGTTTTACAAGATGTAGTAGATATGGCTGTCTGAAGTGCTAAATAAACATTGCGTACCATGTATGTAAGTGCAGCAAGAGCAATAACAAACCTAATGCACTTCCATTCTGCAGTAGTGGATGTAAAAGTAATAAAGAAATTTTCGAGCGATCCAAATAGTAAATCATCAGTTTTTGCTTAGCGATAATTAAATATGTATTTACGTTTTTACATATATATATATATATACACACACAGGCACGCCTATAAAAATATATAAAAATTCAATATTCTAAACGGCAATCAAAGAGATAAGGAAGCAAAAAACATTGTCTTCTAAGCTCAGCTTGCAGCCTAGTAATGCAACACAAAGGATGAACAACGCATATAGAATAAGAAACACACAGTAATCGGAACTTTGTTAATCTTACTGATGTCTACCTTTTCACTTTTCTAGTGTTTATTGATAACAAACCGAATGCTTACCTTGGGAAAAACGTTACATACTCACATCCTCGATATACTTTCGTTAATTGTCGTCATGTTTTTTAAATCTCGGACAACAAATGCTCGCAACTTACTTTAATATTAACCTACTTATTTAATGTCAACTTGTTTACGTAAATACCAAAAATTCCCAAGCCCAATGGCAAGTTTCACGGATTCCCTAAACAAATTTTTCACGCTGAAACTCAAAATCTATAAGCCTTGACAATGTAACGCATATTTGCAAAAAAAGATTGCTCTCGTTTTCAAGGTACAGACATAAATGTGTTTGCGCTGTTTAATTGGACTGCTGCCAATAGCGCCGCAGTGCCGCAGTGCCGGAATACCGCATGCAAAGTGCACTTAGCGAACTGCTAATATGCTACACTCTGGTATAAATAGAAACAACATGGCTATATATATATATGTGGTGTTAGTAATTTAAGATCGATTTGTTTGCGAATTTTAAATGCGGTATCTTTAATAAATTTTGGTAAGATTTTGCTCAACGTGGGGGTCTCCCACAAAAAATTATAGACCGAAGAAGACCGTAGCCCTCCGCCCCTCTGTCTCCACCTGCATTTCTACGCAGGCGCACTTTAACGCGTGCAGTGGGCAGTGCTTGTTGGATAACAAGTGAAATCGTTCTGACCACCTGACCTTTTGAAAATCTTAATAAAATATATTATACCGTTACATAAAAGTGTCTCTGCTTGACTGAATGACTAAAAATATTACTTTCCGTTACAGAAAATCGGTTTTGTGTTTTTTGAAGAAGTCGTGACAGCTAATTCCTTAAATCATGTAAATCTAGAAATTGGAATACAAGGAAACAAAAAATTGGACCTTCGCTTTGAGCCGAATCCTCAATATCTATGCCCTCAAACCAATTCGCTACTTTTGAAGAATTTAACTGAATATGTAAGAATTGGAAATTTTTTGGCTAATTATAGACTGACAAATATTTTTGCAATCTTTTTGATCGACGCATACTACGAGGTGTAAGCTACAGGGAGCAATATATTAACACTATCCCTTCCCAACCTTCTTTTTGGCCCTTTAGACGTCTAACTTTTCAATTTGACTTGTCAAACTAATGCCAAGCTGCCAACGAAGAATAAATGAATAAGTGAATTATACGATTCAATAACAGGCTTAAATAATTGGAAAGCTTTGTTCGAAAAGCGTATGAAATAATTACACATGCACAGAGTTTCTATTGGACATTGGAACAGGGGATTGCCAAAACAGAAAATAAAGCAGCGGATAAGCAGGCCGACAAAGCCATACCGGTTCAGAGTCTTAAGCTCACCACGAAGATATAGACAATGACGGCTTTCTGTTTTTTTTTTTTAACTGAGACCAATGCAAAAGTTACGACAAAGCAAGTGCACCCCTTGTCCTGGGATCCCCAATTTCTTTTTCATACACAACAACATCGAAGGATGGCGATATATTGGACTTGATCCTACCTTTGCAACAGCTACAAAAAGGTATCAGAAAGCCGATAAAGCATAAATGTAGTTGATTATAATCTATCCGTACGGCTCTCTGTTTACCTTTTTCTGCTTTCTTTCTCTCTATCTCTCTCCCTCTCTCTCTCTCTCTCTCTGTTACTAAGGTGCTTGCAATCGCGAAGATCCAACAGGGAAAGTTATAACTTGGCGTATATGCTAACAATAACACGAAGACATGGTGACGATCGAGCAACTGCCACTCATACATTGAGTAAAATACTTAATATTCATACTAATAATTATAATGTACTGATTTCAAGAGGTGGATATCAAAGACTCGCTATGAAACGAATATAACTTCCTTCTTTGTCTTATACGAGAAGCGCCATCAAGCTCTTTTATTTATATATAGTTTCTCTTCTAATTTCAATGTCTAAATCTATTAATGACATTTTTTGCACAAAACTTACGTAGTCGAAAATACTTCAAAGCTATTACATTAAAAAACAAAAAGGAAAAAATTTTGGTATTCTGATGATTTCAGTTATAATATATCTTATATCTTATAAAACACATACGAAAGTATTAATAATTATTCCATATATCAATTTACATTTTTCTTACATTTTTTTTTTAGTTTTAATACATGTAGATTGTAATCAACCAATAGTTGAAAAAATTATAGATTAATATTTAGTCTAATATTGAAAAAATCACATATCTACTAATACGGTAAAAAGGGAGTTTGCAAAAATAAATATATAAAAGTGGATTAGCTTGAGATAGTTACCCGACGTACCCACATATCAAAAGAGAACAAGTAACATAAGCAAGAAAATCGTGTTCGGTCATGACCGAATTCTTTATACCCATGGGCGACTAAACAAATGAAAAGAACTAAAATGTCATATTCTTTGAATTTGGATGGGCGGGGCTGATTTTTTCTGCTTTCTGTTTAATAAAAGTGGAAATTTAGATAGGGTGCATGCTGCACTTTATGAGTAACAAGCAGAACATCTAGACGTGACGTGAGGGATTTTGGTAATTGTGATTTCGATTAACTTTTTAGACAATAAATGACACGGACATATATTTGAAAGAAAATGCGGAGAATTGTAGTAGACACAAGTAAGGGACCCAAAGTTGCATACGTTAGCGGAAACGCGGCATTCAAGAAAGCAAATCGATTAAGCGGAGCAATATGGTCAATTCAAGGATAGTCTGCGCGCGGTATTTAATAAATGTATCTTTCATTTCTGTAAACAATATTAGCCGCTTCTAACACATATTGATTGATAAACGTAATAAAGGAATTTTACCTATCATTATTTATTAAATCGATAATAGCGCGTTTTCCATGGACAGCTACCTATCTTGTGATTATCTCATTGATACCAGAGAGAAGAATATTTTGAAACCGTGGTTTATATTTTAAACAAACTTCTGCAGTTAGAGCAAAGGAGTAAACAGTAGAAGAACAGATATAATGTTAGGGGAAACAGTGTTCAGAGATGTTTGTCAGCAGACCGTGTTCGGCCAAGACTAATTAGATAGCACCGCACTAGCACGCGTTTGCAAGGTGACATTTGAGTTTACATTTTTCATTTGTTTATAAAACGTCATGCAATCACAAAGCGTCTGACAAACATCATGTGATGCTAAATTATTGTACAGTGTCAAGTTTCTGTTAAGATTTTATCAAGTTGCGGAACTTGTAGAATAAATGAATTGACAGTTGAAGCACTTGCAAGTCTTCGCATTTGCTTTAACTGGGTCAGCAGTTTGTTCAAACCATAATACAAATTTCTATTAGAAGTCGTCTCTTGGTCTTCAATCAACTGTAAACTTAGTAACGTAATGGTAGTAACGAAACGAATTCGATATTTACGTACATCGCTAAATATTTTCAATCTATCAGTTATCTAAAGTCAAAAGCGCGTTTTCCTTTTTTTATTTTTTCAAACCAATGTTGCAATCGCATCTCTTGCAACGCAAGAAGAATCAAGTTGGCTAACATACGCCTTACTCCGAATACAAAAATTCCGTAATCTTCTAAGGGGAAGATGCAAAAGCCTGTTTGAGTCGTTCAAACTTACCTGCTACATATAACTCAGTTATAAGTTCACATATAAAATCAAGACCTTGTTTATGGTGAGTAAACTCGATTGTAACTTTATTACATTACTCGTCAGCAGTTTTACGTTTGGAATATTTTTCAATCTGCGATAAGAAAGTGTAAACTCTCCACTCTCTCTCGTTACAGCTAGTCCACCATCCTCATCTACCGAATTCAATCGATCAAGTAAATATTGTTAAACATTAGAAAGTCTTAGCCGTAAAAGTGGAGCGATAAAATTACAAACAGCGGAAAATGATTGCATCCACTATATATATTTCAATGTTGCAAATAGCATAATAAAATTAGTATATCTCAACCCTCTATTGCTGGGTCATAACTATAACATACACATGTACATACATACGTACTTCGACAAATAGAAGAATAGCAGACCGTAATAGGAGAAGAACAAATTTATATGAACTACTGACTACCTTTGTAACTAGCAGCCGTGATATATCTTACACATGTTTACACACGTATGACGTAACTATTTTTTAAAATGAAACTCAATACAATTGTGTTGTCATATCTACGTAAGTTAACAAACATTTAAGTGAACATGTATCTGTCAGTCTACATAAAATCACTGACGGACGGAGTTGAACGTTAATTTAGCTAATGTTAGAGCAAAGAATACTGAATTAAGAAATGATTCGACGGTTATGAAGCTATTCTAGGCTCTAGCCGAACGAAATATTCCGCATGTTCACATCATGTGCGTTCATAATAAATTTGCTTACATTAAAGGAAAAAATTCAATGAATTTCGAACGCTATGCTCTACTGTGTCTAAACCGGCCATAAAAACAACTATAAAACTTACTGTCATTGCCAAGGGAAATGTAATCGATGTGAAGGTTGCTTTCACGTTAGACATATTTCCCTTTTGATTGCGGCGAAACACATTGTCAACAGTGCGAGCACTAAAGTCGTAAAAGCCGCCATTTATGTCGTTTATTAGGTATAAAAGAATATTTATAAAAGAATATTTATTCGTCGTGAGGCGGACGACGACTTCAAAGAAGTGTTGCTAGATGTTTTGTTGATTGAGCAGGCAGTAAAAGAAGATCCACACGTACAATTACAACCAACTTATTTACCGTTACTCACCTTTGAATTCCGTAAGGATGGTGACGACATAAACCGTTTATATTAACCCGTCAGGTTTTAATGCTAGCAAAATCTTTGTCTTCCCTATATTTATTTGCTCCGAAAATTATGTGAACTGACGGATTGTTCGTCAACTCCTTACACCACATAATGCCTTTTGATACACATAACCATTAGCCGTTTGCGTGATGAAAACTAAAATGCGAAGAAGAATAGTAAATGGGGACACGGAACCGTCCTACAGTGTTAGAAGAAATTGTCATTCGATTCTGAAATACTACATACTTTATATTAATTTTTCTATAGCGTGAAACGAAAATAAGTCCCCTTTCAAATTTGTTTATTTTAGGGATTTGCATTTATAACCGTTAAGAATAATGAAAGAAACAAGGATATGGAAAGTGAGATTCCGGGCATCCGCTATATTACCCATTGCCTATCGTCAATTGCAACGTTACTTTTTCCATGGACCGTAACATAACCTTTGCATGTTTGTATTAAATTTCTTAATTGACAAAAACAATTTAACATCAATTCTACAATCATCTTAAATTCATCAACTCTTTCGATGTTGGAGGCTTAAAATACTTGATTCAAGATCCGCTTAAGTCACATTTGGAGATTTGCCTCCCATTGCCTATGCTTACGCGACAAGGTGAACCAATCCTCTTTATGTATGAATATTTATTCAAAAAACCGACATAAGCAACGGTTTATGCCGTGTTATTCACATACAGCAATTTTTACATATCCTATTGAGTTACATTTGAAATTAAAGAACTAACTAAATTTTCCAATCGGTATGACAAACTTTCTATCTGGTATGTCAATTCCCTCCCTACTGTAGAAGTTGACGTTTATTAGTCTTGAATGATTCGTAAATGACAATTATTTAATTCCGCTTGTGTGTTCGCATATGTATGTTTGTAAATATGCATGATTCTTATGAAAAGTCGCTAGTTCTTTGTACTTTAATTGAACCTTTTAAAAAGTTCGCACGATAATATGCAGACATAGATACATGTAGACATTTGCATGCGTCCAGCGTTAAAATCTCTATTTGATTTAAATAAATAAATAGTCTTATTGCATTGTATGGGTAAAAGTGCTTAACGTATTTACGAATTATTGCCTTTTTCCCAATACTTGCATTTTAAAAACGTGATCTAGGACTTCCGAAGGATGAACTCTCTCTCGAAAATTTCAAATTTTCAAATTACTTTGATCTGTCCTGCTACTACAAATTTCCAGAAAGTGAAGGAAAATGTATATACATACCTGCTTTACTGGACGCTTCGGTGTCACCTTGTTCAGCCAAACGGTCGGTTAACAATGAATGAATGACGCCATAAGTATTAATAATGCCAAATATTACACCATTGCATATGAATGCGCTAACCATAACTGACCATGCTCGTACACCCCCATCCGGTGGCTCCTTGTCAAAGGTGTTCCGACGGGGGGGCGTTTCAATGTGCACTTCTATAAACGACTCTAATGCTTTCTCTTTTCCGTTAACCGCGTGACCCAAATTATCGCTTATGCAGATGGACTTTTTACTATCAAGCAGAAATTTTTCCGTTTCATGGGATACGTGGCCATTACTTTCGATTTTTTCACTTAATGATCTATTTAAGGTCATTTTCGCTTTATGATCTATTACGGGGATTGAAAAATAACTTGAAAACACAGCAAAAATTTTTTAAATGCGTATAATTTTTGATATTTATATTCTACACCCGGAAAAAAAATCATTTGCCATCCATTATGCACCGCAACGCACATCTGAATTTAAAGTCCAAATAGTTTGACAACAGTATTGTCCTTAAATACACATCACATTTTACAAAAATATACAAAAACCACAAAGGTTTTGTCCGGAGCTGACGAAAATATACACAATTTCTCGATTTTTCAAACTTTTAAACTGTTTTATTAAGTGCTATGCCCAGACTGCGGATATCGGCACCATATGCAGAAAGAAACTTAATACTCAACTGCGTACTGCATGACGATCATTGATGGCGCCCTAAATCTTGTGAATTGAATGGCACAATTAACATTAATGGTTGGTATAAAAACCAATAATAACACCATCATTACAGACCATTCCATTAAAAAATAACTAAAATAAAAGTTTTAAAGAGCGTCGAATTTGACCTTCCCGTTGCGTGTAATCTGGTTTATTTTTAGAAACTTGAATAAATATTATTTATAAATATATGCAAGATATACGCTGCACCACGAAACCGAAGTCATATTTAACTCACTGAAACAAATATAAGAAAGATGATGTTACTAATGAAATTTCTGCAACTTTCTTTTAAATGTTAACAAATACATGAAGTAATTCCCCTTGTTTCTAGCGCAGGGAAAACTTACGATTTCTGTAAGGAATTTCTGTAAACAATTTTAAGATATATAAAGTTATCGTACAACTTTTTCAGTTCCTAAGATGAGTATACTGCTAAACGGGGATGACCTGATAGTAAAGGAGATGAATCAGGTCACGAGATTCAGGGAAAGTCAATAAATTTGAAATCCTCATATATTTTTTTACCTAACAGTTGGTCCCTTTGCCTCAACATTTTCTAACATCTTACTGTTTTATTTAATTGCAGGTCTTTTGCCAAATGGAGTCGACCTTGTTAGACGGCTAACCTAAATTTCGAGTTTATTAAAAGAGAGAGTCTTTACAGTTAATTTACAGTTAATTTAATATATCAAAAAATTGTAATGTTTAATATTTTCCAAATATTTCTATCCGCACAATTTTGGCGGGGGTCAAAACATGTCGGTGTACCAAATACGACAGACAGATGGAAAAGCTTAGATCAATTCAGAAAGTGCCTCAGAAAATGATTACGAATCGGTCGGTAAAAAGCAGGTACATTTAACTCAAGTCCTTCTTGGTGTGGTAATTATAATGCTGCGATGTGGTTTGTTGAGCCCAAGTGGTTTCTACCGCTACCGCTAAAACATTATCCAGTATTTTTAAGCATACATAGAATTTTGCTTCCTGGGCTTATCTCCTTAATTTCTGCCTTGCAAATGAAGTGAAAAAACGATATAACTTGTAATTGGTCCTAAACATTTATTTTGGTTTTCGAAACGTGTCACTTAATTTAAGATGTACACAACATATTTTTTGCCGGGAATTGTGATAATGAATGTGTCCATAAATCATTTATATCACTTTCTAAAAACTTTCGGGCACGTGGTTGTTACTTGCGACTATCCTTAAGAATTAATAAAAGCTGTTAAATAGTTTCTCACGAAGTGTCCAATTTCTATACTATAAGCAATTTTGCTAAAAATAGTTATTCTCCGCACACACGGAACAATCGAATTTTTAAATAATAATAAAGTTTGCAAAATTTATTACACTCACGACTTTCGTTTTATTTTAAATGAAGAAACAATTATGAAGGCAATATTATAATTTTAATTAGGCTTTATAACGTTTTATTTCGTATATTTCAATTTTAAGATTTTTCTCAATATTTCACATTATTCCGCACAAGCTCTGACGATAAAGAATTTACCCATTTTTATGAAACAAAATAACTGAAAAAAATCTAGAAATTGTTTAGATTTATATTAATGGTGCTCTCTGTTTGTGTCTCTCTTTTTCAGACACGAGTGACACGAGTAAGCAAAGAAATTTCTCTCAGAGCAAACAAAATTGCAATAACAATGCCCGTCCCAAATTGGCTGCATCTGAGAGTAATTCAAAGTAATTCAAAAAGCCCGTCCCAAATTGCTGCATCTGAGAGTAATTCAAAGTAATTCAAAGAGCCCGTATGAATTTGTTTACAATTGAGAAAATCAACAACTCAGAGATTTTCATATTGAATTTGAGCGCATTCAATATTACGTGAACAATCACTTTAAAATGAAAACAAACAGTCAAAATTGTTCTAATATCCTATTTGGAAAAAACTTCTATTTCTTCGAATAAAAAAGAAAAGGAAAATTCCGATTTGATTTAAAAATTTCAAGAAACTAAAATTTTCTTTTAAGTTCTTAAGCAAAGAGCACCAAACACAATCAACAAATATTTTACTAGATGAGAGGCAGAAAGTTTGCTCTCAAACAAACGTTTATTCATGCATTCCTATGCAAAAACGCATGCGAAAAACATAAACAAATTTATGGGGAGCGCGAAAAAATTTTTGTTATTCGCGGTTCTCATTCACGCATGGTGATAAAATTTTCAAGGGCAAAGTTCGCACACGTTGGTTACACAAGTTCGATATGACAATTTTAGGATGATGCGAATGAAGGGAACTAAAGGCAACAACAACTTCTGCTACTCTCTACACCCTCAAAAATGTCGATTCTTTTTTCTTTGAAAACGCATCCAACACACACTCTCACATATGTTATTTTTATATTTTATTGATATGATGATATAATGATATATGATATAAACCTATTTTATTTCGAGTGATGGTTGTAGATAAGATATAAAGCGTCCGTTAAACCCTTTCAATTTTGATTTGTTTCTAAAATCTTTTAGAAGTGTTGTTGCTATCAATAAATTGATATATATTGCATTCGTGTCCCCAAGCCGTAATTACTACTTGAAAAAAACTTTATGGTTACTTTAAACGATAAAGGATATCCTTTCGTCAATAAGTTATAGCCATTAAAAGTTTGTTTTCAAAAAAAAGTAATTAAACGATATTGAAGCTTGGAAGCTTTTGTTGAGTAAAAGTATTGAAATGAATAAAAATTGACAAATTTCTCAGGAAAATAATATTCATCTATTGTCTTACATGATTTTGCTATTTTGTTACACGTTGGACTATCTCTACTCACAAATTGATTAAGAATCGTATGAAAAAAAAATGCGCCTTTCTAAGTAAATGCAAAGCTCCTTTAAAATGGTGCCAAATTTATCCACAATTTCCCCATTAAAATTCAATGGTGATATGTAGAATTTTATGAAATTCTAATTAAGATGCAAATTTTATAAGAAGCTCGACATTACACAACGTATGACCCACTTAAACGTAAATGATCCATGCAAAATATCATTGCAATTAACTTCAATTAAGTTTTTTACACACGAAAATAACATATTTTAGATGATATATAAGTCACAACGACGACGCCGCAACATCATTTTACGAATAGAAAAATCTCCATTTGTTCAAATTTATCAATTCAAACTCCAATCAAACAAATTAGCGGATGCCAGCACTTGAAATGTATAAATGCGTTACATTTTTGTTCAATTGCAATTGTTGTGACAATCAAATGTCCAATCAGTAAAAGTAAATCTTCATAAAAGAGGATCTAACACCGATAGAACTTGTGCAAAACACACTAAACGCTAAAACTTATCCAATAAACATACAAACTCTGCTCTCATTATCGCAAAATGTTACAAAATTGACATATAAAAGTACGACAGGAAATCTTCTATACACTTGTAAATTTCCTTCTAATTTGCTAATAATATCGGTGCACACCAATCTATAATAATACACAGGAGATATTTGCTGCGAGCAACAATATGATGTCAAAAATTAGGACAAATGCGACGTGCCCATGATATAATTATAATATAATGGACGCATAAGTTTTATAAATTGCTTTCCATTCCACTCCATAAAATGTAGATCATTTTAATGATGCCTTCAAAAAGTATATTCTAATTGGCGTTAAAACTAAAAATCCAATACATTTTGTACAACCCTGGGTAATTTGAAAGAAAATGTAAAAAACCATAAACACAAGCAAAAGAGAACAGGAGCATAATCATGTGTCAAAAATTTTCCTTCCGTTAAAGCTATTTCGAAAAAATTAGCTTTTGCAGATATTTTAGCTGTTTGGCAAAAAAAAAGTTTTTCATTCACTTTCGCTTTTACATATTTAGGGAAAACTTAAAAATTACTCTTGTCCGTCGGAATACAAGCGTCTTCTATGAATACACGCAAATAAATTAAAAGAAAAAACGCACAAGAAGAAATAAAGACAATTTATTTTAAATATAGAAATTATTTATCTAATTTGTGTTTATTTTGTGTTAATTTGTGTCTTTTTACGATTTGAAATTTTAGTTTATAAGCAATGAAAAACGAGCAGTACAGGCAATTTATGTTCAAATTTATAGGTATATCTAAAATCCAAACAATTAAAGCAATCTTTTCGCTTTGTTTTTCTGCGTCAGTGAAGTCCGCTTTCATGCTCCTTCTTCTAAAGTCATTTTTATTTCATTAATCAACCGAAAATGAAATTCGGTTTTACATCAATTCTCTTACAATTATTCTTTATATATTTGCTGTTTACATTTTATGTTGATTTGTTTAGTGTTGCTTATAAAACCACTCAATTTTGTTTATGTATCAATTCTTTGCCAATAAAATAATATGGTAGCCTCGTTACTCATTATGTTTACCACTCGGAGCTTCTTAACTCGGAAAATGGAATAACATATCATTGTGTGAAGGAAGACCTTATTGATTTATTGATTTCTCGTCTCGGTTGTTTATTTTCAGGTCGATCGCATATATGATTTTGCCCCGATACATGGCAACAATAGTAAACATTCCTCTTCTTCTTCTTCTGTTATTCAGCAAATTAAAATTAACATAGTAAATATTTGTAAAGTTTGTTTGCCTTCTTAACTTAACTTAAAAACAATGGCAAGCGGAAGTCAAGCTGATCAAAGTAGAAAAATAAATAGCAACACTTTACAACCGCCTCCTCCAGCTGGTTTGAAGTCCTTAATTGATATGCTACATAGAATTTATCCCGATCAGCCGAATCCATTGCAAGTTACCACTCTGCTTAAATATTGGCTTGGAGGTCAGGATCCACTAGATTACATCTCCATGTATAACAATGGTGGAGATACGGAACGAGATATACCAGCGCACTGGCATTACGTCAGTTTTGGATTAAGTGATTTGCATGGCGATGGCCGAGTGCACAGTTTGAATAATGATAATGCCGAAATCAGCAATCGCTCTGGAATGGGATTTGAGTTAACATTTCGCTTGCAAAAAACTCGCGACGAATTAATGGAAGAACAAAATCATCCAGAAAAAGCGATAAGACCGCCAACATGGCCCGCAAATCTTTTACAGAGTATAGCCCGTTATTGCTTTCAAACCGGTAATGGATTGTGTTTTGGCGATAATATTCCCTGGCGCAGAAGCCTAGACGGCAAAAGCAATTCACGACTACAAAATATTTTAATCGCTCAAGACGCTCAATTAGGTACGTTAGATGGTCCCTTTGGTATGGTGGATTTTTGTCAAATTGTCGGCGTTACGGACATGGAATTAGAACAGGCATCACGATGGAACGGTCGAGGAGTTTTGAACTATTTAAGGCAAGATGTACAAACTGGAGGCGAATGGTTGATCACAAGTATGCAACGAAACTTAAGCCTCTTTGAATTATTTCCAGAGCGCTTGATATCGCTTCAGGATGATCTTGAGAAACAGGGATCCGATTTGGCTGGGGTAAACGCTGAATTCACTTTCCGAGAAATCACAAATTCATCACCAGCATGTAAGGAAATTAAAAAGGAAATTGACTCACAAAGTCTCAACGCTCAATGTATGTCTGACGAAAATAATCATAGCATGCAGGATTCTAAAACTAAACAACGCGATGAAACGCCATTTCCTGCGTCAATGTCTATAAGCAGTAATTCATTGCATAAGTCATGCCCGTTAGACTATCAGCCCAATACTCCCGAATCTATATCACTCGATGGCATTGAGATTACATTAGCTCCTTATGCCGCAAAATATCTTATGTTAGCCATTAAAGATCGTATACGACATGGACGTCACTTCACTTTTAAGGCGCAGCACCTTGCGCTAACATTTGTGGCTGAGTCTGTTACTGGTTCATCAGTATGTAAATCTGCACCCTATAGTGTTATTGGATATTGGACACAAGTTCTAATACCGGACGATTTAGTTCCGCGGATGATAAAAGATTTTCAAGACGCCAGCCTGGAAATTGGTGTAGAAAATGAGCAGCGCTTAGAGTTTAGATGGCCCGACAAAAGTTTGAGTCTAATAGTTGACCAACCCCGTTTTCCGGCAATGCCTGAACCTACAAGTTTTTAATTATTACTAAACTTTTTTTATTTCTCGATTTTTTTTTACTATATTTTATTCATTTAATTATATTTAAAATAAGAAGCGTTTTCCGTCATTTCAATTTTTAACTAATCCATCTAGACTAAACGAATTCAAAAATTTTTTGAATAAGTATTATTGTTATTTAATAAACTAAAAAAACATCTAATAAAATAAAGGAAATAAAATATATATGAGTAATGAAGTAGCGGAATCGTTTTTCGTGAAATAAAGGAAAGATAGCTGTGACGTGCGTTAATTACCCTTTTAGATTTTATCTTTATCTTAAAAACATAGGTAGACGGTCAGGAAGTGTAGGGGTGCTTAAGGTTTTTATATTACTTTAATTTTTTCACTTTTTTTTAATTTGCACCAAATGAGAGGGACCAATCGAAATTGCTAATAAGTATTGGATGATTTTCTGCACAAGGTGTGTTAAAACTCCGAATAATTTTCTATGAGTTGCTCACAACTAATCGTAATATTTTTCAAAAAACAATTCAACTACTTTGTAAAAAGAGATAATATGTTCCTTTGCTTTTAATATTATTATATTACATCCATATATATATTTAGTTCTTTTTTTATGTTGACATCAGATGGACTAAGCCAAATTAGCAAAAATGGAAATATATAAAAAATATGCAAATAAATATGCAAGTGAAATAAATTCAAATTGAGTTAAGCATAGGCCTCCACGTCTTCGCTATCGTTTCAGCAGGATGGATACCAGAGGCTAATGGTAAGTTCGTGGTCATCTTTATATATAAAATTTAATCATCACCAGGACTGAGGCCAACGCTACAAATTGTGTATTAAATACAGTAAATTATTATATAAAAATGTATTTATATATTTCATTTAGCGAAGGTCCCATCGTGTAGATCAGCGCTGAAACCTCCGCTACAGAAACAAGGAAATGTAACCTTTAGTTATCATTTTTACTATTTCTTTTTTTTAATTTGATTTAAATACTTACATATCAGTCGGTGAACCTAATATTTAAAATTAATCTGATTAACCTATGTGAAAATAACTTAATTCTTTACTTACCTAATGTCGTTTTCCAAGCCTGAATTTTGATCGACATCTTCCATTACAGCGGGGAAGACGCGACCATGATATAAACGTATTTGAACCGTGGGAATGCCTTAGTATTAGAATTCATTTCATTAGACGAAATGTAATAATTATATTTGGGATAATTATTATTATTATTGGGATAATTATGTCGGCTCTATCCCATCTCTATAAGATGTGCAGGGGTAGCTGTTGAATGTTGAAACTCCACATCCACGCAGCACGTCTTCCGCCTTCGAAAAGACCGTTGCCTTGTTCGTGAATACCCACACTAATGTTGCAATTAATACTAATGTTGATTTCGCTTGGTTGTTTTTAGGAACGCGATATAATATTAATCTCAGGAGTGAGATCAAGCATGGAGCATGTACGTAACGATATGTACCATGGATTAGGATTCATAAAAAACGGAAGGTCAACCAAACTCGCAACTTCTCGGCCCCGTTGCCTTCTTATGATATACGGCAACCCCGACACACTTTTTTTGGATCATCATTGGCGTAAGATCATAAATTACTGCATCGATAATGATGCCTACCTCGGTCATTTGCCAGCAAGGTTGTCTGACCCACCAACACTAGCCGAAGGAACAGTTAATACTCAAGATAATTAATTACTTTTGGCCTTAATATTCATTTTTCATTTTTTAATTAATAACATTAAGATAAGATAATTGAATTACTTTTAATTATTGAATTAATTTTCAAAAATGTGAAAATGTGTCAAAGTGTGTGAAAATGTGTCAAAGGTTAATATCGAACATTTAAAATTTCTTATATCTTACAAGTTAGCTTAGAATTAAACCGTCATAATTTTTAAACAACGCCCTCGCTAAATTCCCTGTTGAAAGCAAGGCACAGAGTCGCCCATGTAAATGGTTGAGTGCCCAACTAACGACTTAAATGTTAAAGCCAATCAGATGTGTTATCTAACGGACCAAATTATCTAACGGACCAAATTAAAAAAAGCCGTCGGCATAGCAAAATGAAAAATTTCCTAATTGTTCTAAATATCCTTATATATCATACAAATATATATATATATATAAATATATATAATGTGTGATTGTGCGAATCAAAACAACATAGACAACTTCAAAGAAACAAACTTTTTAAGCATGCGAAAATAATGCAGCGTTTTGAATCAAAAAAAGGAAACACGTGGCATCTCTGCTTTCCTAGATTTTTTGATTGTTCTTTCGTTATTTCTTTTATCCAATTTAAAGTTTCCATCCATATTTCTGGTGCTTAGTAAAAAGAGAAATACTCTGGCCACCCCACCTTCCCATTATGGAAAAGGGTTTAACGTTTTGCTCATCAGAAAAGTAACAAAAAGGAATTTGTAAAAATTTGCTAATAGTACAACATTTGTGTGTTAAAAGTTATTTATTTAATAGAAAACTACACAGCCATGGAACCCTATAATCAACCCGTAGTTATTGATAATGTAAGTAAAAGAACAACGTTAAAAAATTCGATGAGAAATCATTTCCAAAAAAGACAAGGGTAATGGGAGTGACATCATTTGTAGTTGTTGTTCGGCTGGCTCATCCTGGGTTGGTAGTCCAAAGACGATGCACATTTTTAAAATAATTTGTATATAACATATTTAGATTTTTAGAAAGTACGGCCAAGATTTTCCAAATAATATTTCAAAGAAAATTTCACAATCATAATTGTTTTTAACGTTTATACTTGATGCATGACGTGACATCGTAAAGCCCGCCCAATTTTATGCCTTCATCTAAATTTAATTGACGTCCGTATTCAACAGGGTATATGACAGGTTGACGTTCGCGAACCCATTCAGTTGGTTTCGTAAACAATTGAATGCATTTGTCTGTGGTCCGTTGACCGCATTTGCCATAGTGCTTCTTAAAGGCGATTGGAAGGTGCAATTGAGAATACGGGTCTCGGTAATAATCGCGAAAGTTTTGACAGTCAATATAGAATCGATCGATTTCATCGAGGCGAGCATAGTCCACCACAGCAAGACCAATTCGTGGCGCGAAATTCATGATCGCTTTTCGTTGGTTTTGTGAACTGCGCGCCACCAACAGCATATCCACCTCTGGTGTAATAACTGTTTTCATTTTTAAGCTTTTTCCTCCAACAACTAGTATAGTATAATTTCCGTATATTTTTTCTTCCGATCTAATACGTTGAATTTGATTTTTTGAATTTTACGTACAGCTGTCATGTGTATATATATGTAACTTAATTTTCTAGGGTTCTGGTATGATTAAAGCTGGCTTTGCAGGTGAGAACATTCCAAAGTGCAGGTTTCCAAATTAGTAAGTGTAATTTCACTCATTGGTTACTACCCAGTAAGTCCTTAAAATGAAGTTAACCGTTTTGTGTTTTAGTGTTGGACGTCCAAAGCATGTTCGTGTTATGGCCGGTGCTTTGGAGGGTGATTTATTTGTGGGCCCAAAAGCTGAAGAACATCGCGGTCTGCTGAGCATTCGGTACGCTATGGAACACGGTATTGTTACCGATTGGAATGATATGGAACATATATGGGGTTACATTTACAGCAAAGTAATTTTGCTTTCAATTGCTTTCAATTATGGGTAAAGAATGAAGGAAAATTTTATTCGTCTACTTTTTAGGAACAACTATCTACATGCACTGATGAACATCCGGTATTACTTACAGAAGCTCCCCTAAACCCTCGCAGGAATCGTGAAAAAGCTGCGGAATTTTTTTTTGAAGGTATTAATGCGCCCGCACTATTTGTTTCTATGCAAGCGGTTTTGAGCCTGTAAGTGTGTTTGAAGGCATTTAAGTATTACTAATCTACAACGGTAACGTTGCAGATATGCAACTGGGCGTGTAACAGGTGTTGTTCTAGATTCGGGTGACGGTGTCACGCATGCAGTTCCAATTTATGAAGGATTCGCTGTGCCACACAGTATAATGCGTGTTGACGTCGCCGGTCGCGACGTGTCACGTTATCTCAAGACTCTGATACGTAAAGAAGGCTTTAATTTTCGTACAACGGCGGAATTTGAAATTGTTCGCTCAATCAAAGAAAAAGTGTGCTACTTAGCTACCAATCCTCATAAAGAAGAAACAGTAGAGACAGAAAAATTTGCTTATACCCTGCCTGATGGTAAATTATTGGAAGTAAGTGTACAAACTTTGCTTTAATTCAGTTTTAGATTTTCTAGCACGGAGTAAGAACACATGTTCATTCCCTTGGAAATACTTAGAAAGCTATACTATTCATTTATATTGTGCATTATCGTGAAATTGTAAATTTATTTAAGTGTTTGTTAACCGATGGGTGAAAATTAGCTAAAATTGGGACATCAAGTTGAGATTTAGCATAATTTTATGCTTCTGTTTCAAAAAATAGGTTTAAAATTCGTTTGAATATAAGCCTGTTTACATAAGTTTCACAATTAATGCGAAAGGTGAAGTTGACCGCAGACTATGATGTCTATAAATTTGCGAAATTCATTCGAAACCAGTAGAGTTTTTTTAATTGATATTTGCAAAATATCGTTTTCAGATAGGTCAAGCCCGATTTAGAGCACCCGAAGTTCTATTTCGACCCGATTTGTTGGGAGAAGAATGTGAAGGAATTCATGATGTGTTGATGTACGCCATTGAAAAATCCGATATGGATCTCAGAAAGATGTTGTATCAAAACATTGTATTATCCGGTGGCTCTACGCTCTTCAAAGGTTTCGGTGATCGTTTGTTATCCGAGTTGCGGAAACACTCCGCTAAGGATCTTAAAATCAGGGTAAGTGCAACTGGCTGGTGCGCTCTGTAAAGGTAAACTTTATGCTTCCACTTTACTCTTTTTTGCAGATTGCCGCTCCTCAAGAGCGACTCTACTCCACTTGGATGGGTGGTTCGATTTTGGCTTCGTTGGATACCTTTAAAAAAATGTGGATTTCTAAACGAGAATACGAAGAAGAAGGTCAACGCGCCGTGCACAAAAAGACTTTTTAGATATTCTATTGTTTTTTTTTTTTTTTTTTAACTTCTATAGGAAAAGTCATACTTTATAATTTTTTATTTTCTTTAAGAAATATGCGCTATTCTTCTTCATAACTTAGATGTATTTGAAAGAATACAGGCCAAGAAAATTCTATAAACTAAATCATCAAATACTTGAAGAAAAAACTCATTAGAAATACTAAGGAAAAAAAAGATGATTTCAAGATATCAGCCCCCGCTTAATTATTTGCGTTAGCTTGCATTTCCTTGAAAGCTTGTAAAATGACATTAAAAAAAAAATTAATAAAAAAAATAAAAATGCTAACCTAGAAGTATACGCGAACTCTCTTCCCTCAATTGCTGTGTTATAAGATATAAAATAAATAATCGTCATTAGAGGCAATGTATTACTTTTTAGCGTATTTTCATAATTTAAAGTTTTCAAGTTTAAGTATTACAATACCGCGTATATTTCATGCTACAGAATATTTCCCTTCTTTTAATAATTTCGTTTTTCCTTTTTTTTACAACGAATCTATTTATTAATTTTGTATTATTTAAAAATAAAAACCAAGAGGTAAAAAATTCGATAAAGTATACGCATATTTACAAGATTTTGTAATTATGAAAAACACGCAAGATTTGATAATGCTCTCATCAACTTAGACTGAACATAAAAACTTAAGAAATAAAAAGTCAAAGTTTGATTGTTTCTTTTGTTCCAAGCTCGTCTTTTCGATTTTTTGTCTCGCTAATGTTTAAGCAAAACAAAGGTAAGAACGGTTTATTCATTGTGGTCGAATCGTGAATACCCCATTATCTCAACAGAGTTTATAAAAATTGTAATGTATTCACATTTTAATTGTGCCCTTGTTAGCGGGCATGGTGTAGATATTACATTTAAATCAAGTGGTAATAATAGTTAGTAGACAATGGGGGCAGGTTTTAGAGTGTTACAAGTCTACCCTTGTCTGAGTGAGAAAGCTCTTTTCTGTGGGTAAATTGTACAGGCTCGATCTATGAGATCGACTGAATAATCAAAGTCGCATGCCATCGAGCATATGTACACTTTGTAAACCCTCTGAAGTGTATTTCCGGGTGTTACAAAGGAAATGACGATAATGGTTTGCAAAATGAATAAGAAATATCTTCATTTATTTACTCTTTCGCATGCATATGATGATATAGCTTCGCGCTAAGTAAACAAACCGCTGCCGAACTGCAGAACTTGTTTTTCAGTTAGTTTTCAGTTTGTTGTTAAATCGTTAGGTTGTATCCATAGCAAGCGACTAAAATTGTCATAGAGATAAAAATCCCATACGCTTGTATCATATATTTTCATACCCTCGTATGTTTAAGTGAATAGAATTTAAAGGACGTATGAATTATATTTTTTTGAAAAAAATTTGTCTTCATAATGGCGCAAATTATGGCGGGTGTTAATAATATGTTAAATAATGAAACCGAAGTAAGTGTGAGTGCAAGTCATTATGAAGTGAAATGAATTCGAAATCATGAAACGTAGACAAGCAATAAACGATTTTTTAAGCTATTACTCATATTTTGGCTTCTTTTGTTATTATGAAAACATCATAAGTTTCTTCATTTCGTTTCGAGCCGATTTAACTGCTCGGTTTGGAATATAATGTTTTGGTACAATGCCATACTTGCGAGGAATGCGTTCATTCGATACAAGAAAGCTTTTCAACAATAAACACTTATAGCGGGATTCCTTTAATTCTACATAACTTTCCAGATATAATTTTACCTATTATTGCGCATTTTGAAGGTCGAAATAAAAATAAATTCAATTTTCGAATGTTCACTTTCGATTTCGAGACAAATTTCCACCACCTCTAAGATTGATTATTTAACCGGGAAAATTATATGCATGTAAAAAATGTGCATACTATAGATACATTTTTAAACTCCTATATGTACATGTAGTCTCCATGAAATTAAGTGCAAATATCTGCACATTAAAATTTGTGTATAGATGCGCTTCTATGTGTATGTTAATTACAATTAATTGCTATTAGGCGTTCTTTCTTGTTGTATTTGGCATGTAAGGGACAGCGGTGTGAAAACTTTGTTTAGTTATATGTAACGTGCGACACGATCACGTATCAACTATTAAGTTTATTGTCCAAGTTTTCTTTTATTTTAAAAGATTGAAAAACGTATATAACGTAAATATATACGAAAAGAATCTTTAATTATGATCGGCACAATGGAAAAGTTTCGACTACAACGGTATATCAGGAGAGAAAATAAAGAGAAATCTTACGAAAAAATCGACAGTGATACTATGCATATGTTGATTTCGTTCCACCTCCATATGTAATCAACGATCGAAACATTCGCAAGATTCCGACTTGGACATATCACATTGCAACATATCAATGGATTCATAAGAAAACTGCTCCACTGATCTGCATGCGATTGCCGGCGAAACCTTACGGCCAAACATGTACTTTCTAAATGGCAAAATCTACCTAATATTCAAAGATTAGTTTAGGGAAAATGTAACTGTATGGATACCTTGAAAATTCGTGGAGATCTTAATATCTACAAAACTATAAATGTAATCTATCTTTAAAAAAAAGAGACTACTGTCTTAGTTGCTAGCGCTCATCCTATTACATCCTACTTTTAGCGCTACAATTTATTTCTTCGGTGTAAATAATTTATAATAATAATAATAATTCATTGAGTGCGCAAATCCTTCATATACCCATTCATAATTTCCCAAAGCCTTTATTTACTTACTGATCAACATACACGGATGTCATTAATAAGCAAGGCTTTGGTATTAACATTAAGATTTCATCCACTTTTGAGCGCTCAAAAAAAAAAGGGATGATGCGTTTAATTCACCCGAAATAGCTTAATAGTTTAAAAGCGCACCGCCCTTCCTATTTTATATTTAGCCTAATTGGCGACCACCAAGAATGAAGACTTCTTACGCTATAGCCAGTGACGATAGGAAAAAGGGTTGAAGTTCATATACACTTCAAACCATGTAAGGAGCTTAACATACCAACTTTACTGATAAGTTTTGCTTGTATGCGAAAAGCAATAATTAATTATTCCTGTAATGCTTTCAGTCTTTTTAAAGCAATTGATTCCTTTATTAACTATTATTGATTATTGGCATATATATATGTATATATAATGTTTTACATTTTGTGTTGCTTCCCTAGTGAATGTATGCACTTTCTCAAGGTCATTGAGCAATTCTTCGTACTTTTTGAAAATCCATGCAAATTACTGCCTTTTTATCAGATACATATGTGTCTTCTGTCGTCTATTACATATAAAAATAGATAGATAGATAGTTTGTGGACAGAACAGTAAAATATGAAAACTATTATAAACAGTACAAGATTTAGGTGAGACGTCCATGTCGAGATCTAGTTGAATTGGTATTAAATATGTTAATGTTCGATATGGAGTTACCAGCATCGGTATCCTGATCCTTTTGCCAATTTGAGAGAAACTTAAAATTTGAGTCGGCCGGGGGAGACGCTTCAGAGGGGAACGAGCGGCTTGCTTCTGTCAAAACAGCATAATATTGTCCGAAGTTATCTTTTCTCGAAGAGGAAGCGCCAGAGTCTTCGTCGGCTACGAGTGGTATTCTTTTACGGACTCCTGTTGGGAAATCACTATCCCAAGATGGTTTGGTGTCATAAGGAAGGGAAACTGCGGTTTCCTGATAATCGTGATTCAGTTTTGCTTCCGCGTTTTCGTAGGAATACTTGCTGGTTGTCGCGAATGGGACGAGGGATTTGGTTTCACAGCATTCTGTCGAAGATCTAGATGTAATAAATTTTAAGTTGGTACTTCGCGGTACATGCCTCCCCGGTATTAGCGATATAGCAATATCTTGACACATATATTCTGAAAACATGTATCCCCATCTTATAACTAAAGATTGTGTACAATATTTTCCCCTGTCTTTATCCTCATGAAACTGACATGCAATCCCACTTTGATATTCAAAGTAATCCCTTTCGAAATACGCATCTGTTATGTGAAAAGTTTTTGGCTTTTCCAGCTCGCCCTGGTCACATGTCGCCTCTTTCATCACGTAAAACAGGTATTGTATAGAATAAACACTTAAAGTTGCGTTATTCGCGCCGATGTCAGATTTTAAAAAGTTTAGCACCGAATCCACGATGTGTATACATCCCGGCGACGTGTACAAGGGAGGAAAGTCATCGTTGGAGCTTAAGAATTTCAACACCGCATTATAAATATTGCCCAAATTTTTGTCACCCATAGCGTTTGGTGGAAAAGGTAAACCGTGGGTTGCGTCCGAATGACGTTGAGCTTCAAGCTGATGACCGTACATTTTAACACCGGGGTTTATAAAGGTGTGGAAAGTGCGGATAACGCCTTGCTTCAAAGAATATTCACAGATTGATAATTCAGCGGGAATGTAAACGCTGCCATCCGAGGTTTTGGTGAAGTAATTAACCGCAATAAAAAAATAGGATGTATTCTCCAATTCACCATTTTTTTTGCTATTTCGAACCGTTTGCTCAATTGTACGCTTGATTTGTTTCTCTTTTTGTTCCAGTTCCAATTTTTGTCGGTGCATTTCCGATATCGGCCTACCGACACAAGTCAATTTTTCACAACCGTTTCGCATCCTCAATTTTTCTGCTTTAGCTCTATCCTTATACGGCCCCCTTTCTTGCGCACTCATATTTTCCCAAATTTTTCCCGCTTCAGCAGTTGCCATACTTAAGTTTGTTAAGTGTCTTCCATGTTTGGCTTTCCATTCCATTGTGAAAATCATAAATGCATTGGGGCATGCTTTTTTCGGCGCCATGTTGTCAATTGCTTGCGAGCCTTTCAAATTCGTGTTGTCAGGGTAGCCTAAGCAGTGTAATTGAACCGACACAGTCGAATTAGGATTTGACATATTTTGCCAGGCATAGTAGCTGTGAAAAGGATTTATTGTAGTAGAGTTGCGTTTGATATACCAAAATAACGCGGATTACTTATGTAATGTCTTCATACATATCACCGAAAGATGGGAAGTATATTCATTTTGCCAAAACGTTTGCAAAGGTCAGCGGGAAGCTTTAGAAACCCTATTAATTATATGTATATTCTCGATTAGCATGAAGTTCCGAATTGGTTTAAGCCCGTCCGTGTATCCGTCTGCGCAATGTCCTTTTAACGTACTTCTGCCCACAAAAACGAAGCTATCGAATTGGAATTTGACAGAAGCAAACTTCCGAAACCCCATAAGGTATATGAATGCTTTGCCAATTTCAAACGTTGATGAGACTGACTGGAGACTGACTTTGTTGGTGTTGTTAGTAAATACGTAGCAGAGAAAATTTCTTTGACGATGTATTTGTAATGTTCTTTGACTGATAAAGTATTGGATACGTTTCTATGAAGGAATTTAAAAAACGAGCTTGTACTAGAGGCATTCCGTCACTAATAACGATGATAATTTTTCTGAAGAGTTTTCTTATATACATAAAGTTTTATATATCTTACGAACGAGGTTCAACTTTTCAAGATACGCAGCGTTTAAGCTGCAAAAATAGTGGACTGTGAAAAAACTTTGTGGCAGATCATTGAAAGCTTTAACATCGAAGAATCGCACCCGAGACATATAGGACGGAAGTCTTTATAATTCGGTTTATTTTTGGTAGGGGAAAAATTTATTATTCTCCAACGGAACTCATTAACAGAGGTTAGAAGACCTTGATTAAAAGCGAGTCGCCATGCTGCATTTTTGTTTGGCAACGCACTAATCTCTAAAGTATTTTTTCTAAGGCTTGAAGAGTTTGCTTATCTGACAGCCTCTTTGCATTCTGACAAGGCTTTAGCACGGGCTTCCAGATTTTCAAATGAAAGACACGCGACGTATTTTTTCATTGTAACGGTAAGAATAGGAAAAGTTTTGTAGAAATGTGTTTCCATCAGATTGTCGGAATACACTTTGAGGATCCAATGACATGGGCAGCTTTAGAATTTCGTACGAAAATGGACATCTTATTTGAGCAGAATTTTCTAGGACTTAACGTAGAAAAATTTTGAAATAACTAATGTTTTTGGCAAAAAATTTGGATCGGAGAATATTGTTAGGTTGAATTTTCAAAGTTATTGGTTTATGATGTGGGCGACTAAGAAAAATGCTAGCGATAATTCATCGAATAGAACTGATTATGTGAAATCAAGTTGTTGAAAAAGCAGCACTTAACAAAAGGGTTCGCACAATATTCTTTTTCTTAGCGGATCAAAATGATTTCCACAACGCCAGCATTATATCCTCCAGATGTCGCACCTTCTAATTACCATTTTTATCGTCCTCTGCAAAATTTTGTAAGCGGTAAAGCCTTAACTTCAAACGGGCAGCGTCAAAAATTACTTGGATCAGTTTTTTGCCGGCAAGGAATAAAAGTTTTGTGAGCATAGAATCATGCTACTGCCCAAAAAAAAAGATGACAAAAGATATTGGACAAGAATGAACAATATATAATTCAATAAAATATTTATGCGAGAGTACTTTCCGAACATATAATAGGTATAGTATATAGTATAGAGTGATATAAACTTAATAGGTTAAAATTAATTTTGTATAGATCTTTGAGGCTTATATATATTCAAAACACAATAGTGTACGCTTCAGACTCTCAATTTTTTAATTTTTTCAGATGAAATCCATGGACGCTAACAGATATGCTACGAAGAAAACTATTGCCCAGGGTATGCTAGATATTGCTTTATTAACCGCCAATGCATCCCAATTAAAATACATTCTTCAAGTTGGCGAACAACATCAATTTTATAAAGTAATGTTGATTCTGATCAGTTTATCAATCGTATTACAGGTAATTTCGCAATAATATATATATAAAACAGTAATTTTTTATGGTTTTTTTTTTCAAAATTTTTGAAATATATGTATGTATTGGTGGGCGCTATGCATTGCAATGTGTACATGCGTGTATGCATAGATTCTTTCTGGCATTCTAAGTCTATCACTGAGTCTGCTGCGCGATCGTCGTATGCATAAGCCAGAATTTCATCAATCCGCCAATGTCATTAATCATATACGTACAGGTTTTGCCTTTTTCGTAACCATGCTCAATCTTTTCATTTCGGCCTTTGATTCGCGATTGCCACCACCGCAAGGAGACTTTTTAAGTGATCTTAATTAGAGCAAATTAAATCAAGTCCGCAACGTACATATAAGCGATTACAAGAAAATTTACTTTGAAATTCATCACAATTCATTTATTTCCTGCAGCTTTTGGTCGGCATATTATTCGTCATCATCGGAAGTCTTAACATCAATCGGAAAAACGATCAAACTGCGGCCGTGATTTTGAATGATGTAATTTTGGTTGTCGTATTTGTAATATCTACAATAAATGTTATAATATCCGGGTTTGGCATTGAATATTCATCTCAACCACTTCGAAAGATAATGGATTCGCCTTAAAGGGCAATTAATTCCGCGGACTATATCGACATTCGGATCAACACAGGAAAGAATTTTAAGGCTTTCGAAATCATTCAGGATTTTTTACGCAATTCAAATTTTAACTTAGTATTAAGCTTATTCACCAAAAAATAATAAAATAGCTTTCAAACATAATAAGAAAAAATTAAGCGTAAAATTAAAGAAAATTTAAAGAAGTTTCCTTTATAGGTTATCATTGGAGTGTTATTGATGATAACATCTTTCATGGGAATACATAGAAACAAAACCGAACGTTCCACAGCCGAAGGCCTAAATCATATCGTTAATGGATTGATATTTCTCTCGGTTTTCTGTGATATAGTGAAAATGAATTTTGGCTTAGATCCTGCGGTACACTAATTCAAGGATGTTGATGAGGTCACTTCACAAAGTAATTAAATGATTGTAATTTTAATGATATTTATGTTTTGAGCTTCTAATGGCATGTAAATAAGGATAACTTAAAAATAATAGGAAAGTATTATTCGCCCCGAATACGAGTTACGAGCACTTTATTAATTTTTTTTTAAATAATAGCATAAATAAAATGCTGTAACAAAAATCTATGAGATTGTATCTATCAATATCAATACCAAAAAAAAAAAAAAAAAAATTATAGTTTTGAACTTCAAATAAGTAATTATTTTGACACTTTAAATTAAGAGTTAAAATTTGTGGCTATTAAGGAAGCGTATTCTTAAAGTAACGTGTCTTTTTGAACTTAATCAATTTCGCAAACAAAGGAAATAATTATCAGCATCCAATACAATGACAAAAGACGTACACAACTTAAGCGATTGATAGATTGCGACCAAAAAAGTATAGCGTGCAACCAAAAAGTAATGAGTTGTCAATATTTTATCTTATCTATATTATCGTTGTATGCTAAATAAATTCTTCTTCTTCTGCTGTTAATCAGCGAAACAAATTAGCATCGATTACTTTCGCCAATAACGTATAACATACTTTACGGCGTCATTTTTGATATCGTTTAAACATGTGATTTTTATTTACATTTTTTATTAGAGATCAGATGCTGATAGATTAGTTGTGCGAATAGCGTGAATACTTCTAATCTGAGATTTCCATTAGCTCTTTTATGCGCCAAAACACGAAAAAGTCAAAAAACAAAAAACTTTAATGAAAGATACATCTTTCTGGAAAAACTGAAAATTTTTAAGCATTTTACTTCAACCAAAACCTGAAATGTCGATTACGGAAAACTCTTTACCTGCAAATTGGAAAAAACCAGATGAGGTATGTACGATATATAGGAAAACTAACTACTAATTTCCAAAACTTGAGATATCATGTCTCTACTCATTGCGTTCAATGTATTCTCTCCTTTCAAACGGACGAAAATGCATACATGTCTCTTACAGCTGCTGCGTCTACAAAGATTGAAGCAGAAAAAAAAGCAATTAGCGGCCCGTATTAGTCATAACAGAAACAACAATGAAGTCAAAACGAATAACGAAACTGATAAAGCCGCTCTGCTGGAGGCAAAAATTGTTCAAAAAAGAAAGAATCCATTTGCAAAGTTTGTCAAATAAATAAGTGAAACTAACTTAATGTATTATTCATGACATCATTGTCTTTTCCAGATCGCTTGAAAATGCCAAAAAATATAAAACAGACATCGGCGCTGATGGCGACGATTTTCTAGTAAAAGCCGAAAATGCATCCACAACCGCTGAAAAAGAGGCTATTGTGCGAGAAACACCCACCCGCCCCCTTCCTGCAAAATTAGTTTTGCAACCTTTTGATCCTAAGGCTTTTTCCGAGCTACTGCGGAAGACCACGTCGACTCAGTCCATTGCGGATGATGAAGACATCACTTTAGATGACCAAAAAATTACCAAACATTTACCGATGGATTGGAGTTTAAAAACGAGAGTCCGTTTCTTTTGCCGCAATGAATTGCCATCCACGCAACTGAAGACCAGTCAGCTGGCTAGTGGTCTCACCAGCTTCGTTCGTTGCATTAGTACTCAGACAGAAGGCAAAGGTTTGGATTTATCGCCTGCGACCCGGTTTAATCAAGCTACCTATTATTGGCAACATCCCCACATACCATGGATGACATTGTTTCCTCGCAACAGTCGGGAAAATACGGGAATTACGTTAGGAGAAAAGGAACGTAACGCCTTATCCGAAGATTGGAATTATAGCTTTAGAGGCTTGTTTCAATTGTTAAGAGCCAGGCAGTGTGCTTACTTTTATCTATGTGGGAACACTTTTACTGTTTTATTTCGAGCAGCTGGTGTAGGGGGAAGAGCCGAAATGCATGCTTTTATGTCTCCTACCACATCTGGTTTACGTCAATCTTTACGACAAGAAGGTATAGAATTTTCGATGCCTTTGAGGAAGGAAAAAACGTCTAGTCAGCTAAAGCCAGATAGTAGTGACCCGACGCAATTAGAGAACGAAACAAGCAAAGAAGAAAGTGCGGATAGTGAAGAAGACGAAGAGGATGAAGAGTGGCTTGAACGCTTAGAAGTAGATGTGAAAGAAATTCGGAAAATTCGGTCAGCACACGAACGCAAATTGAAATCGCAAGAAATGTCTGACGATTTCAGTGATAATTCGTTGATGCTTATCGAAGGTGCGGAATGTCAAGGATTCTTTAGTTTTCTGCTAAATGCTAAAAGCACGATAGGGACGGTAGGTCGGTTGGCGGGCGTCCCACCCACTTTATTAGCCCCAATAGCATTTCCCAAAGCCACCATGCAACACTTAAATACACGATCAAGCAAAGTACGTATGGATGGAATAGATTATTACAGTATAGAAGTAAAAGGTGTAATTCTGCCCTCGTTTTTACCTTATACTTGTCACCTTTTGGGGGAAACGAAAGAGACTTTCAGTGCAACTTTGGCCTCCAGCGTAAACACACTAGCATTTAGTAAAGCTACTCAAAAATTGCTACAAAATCACGAGCCGTGCTCGACGGGCGAGAAGAGTGCAAGCGATGAAGCGGCTTCTCAGGTTTTTGGGCAAGAAAATCTTTCAGATTGTGGTTTAGGAACATGTGTTGTCGAAAGTATGTGTCAAACAGGTCAACAATCGGTTGCACTTTTAGAACGTGTGTGCTATGACAAAGAACACGGCTACGCCTGGAGTTAGCTTTGTATACAAAGGCGAAGTTCGTATTAGTTTTCTCTTAGTATAATTTTGATTATTGTTATGTAAAATTAATAAATTAGTAGATCAATCAATTTTTATCTAAAAATATTTACTTTTATTCAGCTTAAAATTTAATATTACACAGAACGTTCTTATTAATGATCCACTATTATTAGCTCATCTATGCTCCAGTCTTCATACGAGTGATCGGGAAGAAATCGCCTAATAATGATGAGAATTTTCTTTTGCTTGAGTTCTTTCATAGCAATTTGCAAGGGATCTGTCTCGCCTTCCAATTCAACCATAATTGGAGCGCACATAGCTATTTGCAAAGCTCTTGTACCTAGTACAAGACGAATTTAAGGTAAGGGTCACTAATTTATAAAATATATATATATAATATTTGCGAGAAGCAAATTCCAGTTTATTATGATAAATATAGAAATAGTATAATATATACTTTTTACTATACTTTATATGGATACGGAATAACGCTCCATTTTCTATCCATTGAACGCTCGACTGCTGCAATTGATTTCTTTTTTGACCCATTGATTTGTCGCAGCGTAGAATATTCTAGTAATGTGATCTCCACAGACTGTGTTTACAAGCATCCTCGATTAGTCTATAAAATCTGCTGAAGGATGATGGCTTTGTAATGTATTATACCCTGCAAATGGTGCCGTAAAGTATTTCAATTGAGAAATTACGAAGGCACTTGCCTGTATCTTTTGCCACTCGCGATCTAATTCCGCCTTTTCATTTTTATCTGTTTTATGTTTCCGTGTTTTGCGACCGTCTTGCCATTTTTTGCCATATTGAAATGCTGCTTTCGGCAAAGCTTCTTTAGTACTCATATAATCGGAATATTCCTCTTGGGTATCAAAATCCCAACGCCCGATAGGTCCTTTCTTATTGCCTAAATCCATTTTAGTGTAATCCACTTCATCGTCTGAATCATCAATGGCATCATTCATTTCTTCTAATCCAGGATAACATTCAGCATAGCCTTCCGGTTCGTTAGCAAATCGTGAAGCTATCGAGGATTTGGTTATTCTAGGTGGTGGTGGTATCGTAATAATAGGTTCAGCAACTTCTACACATTTGTCTCCAAAATAATTTAGCGGCTTTTCATTACTATTACCGGAACAGTTTTTATCCGTACAATATACTTTTTTGGTCGTACAATATACTTTCTGGTCGTACAATACACTTTTTTGGTCGTACAATATACTTTGTTTCTGATCTGCCCGATGCAAATGTTTCTAAGAGAGATTTCAATAAAAGCAATTAGTAACTACCAGATTTTAATGATGATTTAAAAAAAAATTAAAAATAGTTTGCCTACTTTTAGGAATTTTCAATTTAAAGAATATTCAAAACTGTCTCACCCTGTTGCAAACTATAACTATAACTATTAACAGAATTGAATCTTTGTTTTGCCGACGGCTTTGCATTTTAACAGAATTTAATCCCTTTCGTCTGTTATTTAACAGAATTGAATTCCTTTTGTCGGTAAAGCTGGGCATTTAACACAGCTGATTGGCGTTAACATTTAAGTTAAGTTGGGCTTTTAACCATTTATTTATTATAAGCGACTCTGTGCCTTGCCTTTCAACAGGGAATTAAGCGAGGGCGTTGTTTAAAAATTATCACTGTTTAATTCTAAGATAACTTGTAAAATATTATAAATGCATGAAAACTTTTATTTTCATACACATCTTTTTAGAAAAAGATCCTCCTCTTAAAATTCTCAGTAAAAAAAATTCCAAATGTTTTCCGTGTTAACTAAAGTGAGAATAATAAATACAATATGGCCATCTTTGGTCCGATAGGGAAGTTTTACACTTGTACGCTCTCTATCAGGTAACTTTCGAAATGTTTAGCTAATTTGCAGAAAGAATGGAATATTACGGCCTAAAGATAGGCAAGCAAAGCCGCCAGCTTTACAACCCAGAAAATCTGTTAAAACAGCTTTACAATCCGAGAAATCACTAATTTGCAAAGCCGTCGGCAAAAGTCCCCAATTGTTCATTGCCAACGGCAGCTCTGGACACATTTTTTCTTCAGAAATAAAACAGCTGTGTGATGTAATATAATAATATTATAAATTCACCTCAGATTTTATGTTTGAAATTTTCGTAAAAAGTTCGAAAATCAAATAAATTAATTTCAAGTCACGTTTACCGTAATTATAAAAAAAAAGTTAAATTAAATATTAAATAACCGCCTGCGACGTCGACTTGAAAGAATGTTTCGTCTCCGAATAATTGCAGATATCCCCGTATCCCTAAATTAATACATCAAGAGACATATGGAAAACAGGTAATCATATCCATAAAGTGATGAGAAAAAGGGGCAGAGTTAACTCTTCAAAAAGATGACATTAAAAAGGAGAAAAGAATAATTTATAGTTGTGCGTGTGTTTTTAGTGCAAATTTATAAAAGAATTAGTTAATATTAATTTAGATCGAAGCACAGTGATTCCGTTCATTTACTCTAAGTTTTTCTAAACAACTTCATATCAATAATTACGTCCATTATAAAATTTGCACTAAAACAAAGCAGCAATAGCATACCTGCAAAACTGAAAAGAGCAGCAGAGACGGCAGCACCGAGAAAAAGAAAATGCAATAAGGAGAAAAAAAAAAACGCAAGAAAAACAGTAAAATGTATATAAATATTTTAATTACCAATTAAATAAATGACACTAAGCAAACGAAATCAAAGTGTTATAAGCGAAATGCCTAATTAAGGATTGCAGAAGTATATTAGCAGATAATTGGATGTGTCTATGTTTACAGAGACTTCCGCGGATTAAGTAAGCATCGCAGAGCGTCCTTAGAAGGCATGATTTTTACAACACGAATTACTTGGAAATGCAATAAGGATGAGGTGAACGGATAATTCCGTCACGTACAAAACGCATTAAATGTCTTTTACCATCGGAAAGTAAAGAAAGCATTGCCGCAAAACACCCACAGTCCGTTCATAAATTGTGTGCAAACTTATACATGTTATAAGCATTCTAATATTTTAGATCTACAGCGCGAGAATCTGACATTATTTGGTGCTATATATTTTTTAAAATCTTTCTCCGGCCCTTACCATATATTTCAGTGTATGCCGTTTGTTATTTTTGTTTATTTGTTATTAAATCAATTGTTAAATATTTTTGATGCATTTGCGTTTAATATTATGAAAAAGAATTGCAATAACTAATGAAAAGTAAATCTAACTTTGAGCACTGAATCAAAACAAAATATTGAAATCCTTCATCAATGCATCGTTATCGTTGCCGTCATCAGTTATTTATCTCGAACTCTAATGCGTACGTGTGAGAAGCGGCAAATCACCAGAAGCAATTTACAACCCGTCCACATCCATTACTCTTACCTTTTACATCCTAGCAATGTTTGGTGTCAATATTGAATAATAATGTTGCTTTATTCTTTTGTTTTCGTGACAACCGCTAGAAACCTTCGCCTTTTTGAGTTCACAGGTAAGTTGTTCACCTAACCCAAAATGAGTTTGAATATAAAAAGACCGCGCCTATTTTGCAGGAAAAATTTAAAAAATTTTCGCAAATATTTTTAGAAGATTTTTACAACATTGTTTTGACTAAATTGTAAGGTAACCAAATTTTTTTTATCTTTGTATTCACGTATTTATAATGCACAAAAATATGCTTCGATTCATATTCATGATTAACAGCAAAGAATTACATTAGATTAAAACACAAAGCTAATCTCTCAACTGAATCACCTATTTCAGACCGACTCTTTGCAAATGCTTTTGTATGTGGTTCAGCTTCTTGATACTATGGGTAAATTTTATGTTACATTATTCCAATTTGTATTAAAAATTTTTTCCATTAGGACGAAGGTTGATCAATAAAAATCGGTTCTGCTATTTGAATATACTTTGAACCTTATACGCGCCGTAACTAACCGCTTAAAGCTGTAGACAAGCGATTCATTGTCATTATGGTTGTTATCCGTACGTAAACGTATTTCCCCAAAATAAATGATCAATAAGAGGAAACAAATTGGGAATTCAATATTTTTTTTATATTTATTAAATGCGAAAAATGTATAAAACGCATTGAAGTATTCATCGCCAATTAGATTTCTGCACGAGGTGGGATGTCATTCGCTTAGCGGAACTCTTGAAATATCCGAAATTTCGCTTTAGCGCATATAAAGTATATAAACGAAGGCGAAGCTTTTTAAACTATTCGGATAAATTGCCTGCTACTGCATGCTTCTCCATTGAATATTAGACTTTGTGGGATTAAAACATCGAGAGAAAATAGAACATAACCTCAAAATAAATGAAAATGTATGCGGGCGCTGTTATGTTATTAAAGTTAAATTACAACCTTTTAGGTGTGATTAGAGTTAATTATATACTAATAGATTCTGCCATATTCTCGTTTGCGTTCGTTGTGTAAATTCAATTTCATATGAGTTTTTTATAGCCTAGTTTTGGGGAATTTGAAATGATTTTTGCAATATATATTTATGCGTTTGACATATATAATATGATGTTTTTAGTGCTTTCACGCTTGCGCGCTGTCGCTTGTCTTCCACAATTCGTTAGAATATCAGAAATTTAGCTTTCTATGCGGCAACGTGTGTTAATGGTATGTTTGTGTGTTTAAGCGAAAAATGTGAGAATAAGCGTATAAAAATTTGGCCACATACGGGAATAAGCGTATATATTCTCAATAATTCGAAAAATGTGAGAATAAGCGTCCAATTTGTTTACATTTGTTGAATAATTTTGTATCTCATTGTCATATATAGACTTGATTTTCAAGAAAACGCTAGCAAAACGAGGAAGAGTCCAAAAAATGGACCTTTACACGTAAAATTTGCCGTAGTAAATTTTCTTTTCAATTCACTATGATCTATGAATGGTCTTACAAACTCTGTTGACCTCTTAAAGCGTTGTTTGTAAGAATGTACGTCTTTACACGCTGCATCATTTGTGGTACAAAAATATTAGGTTTGTGCGGACGTATGTAACAGCAAAAGATCAAAGTCATTTTCTAAATCGATTTAAGTCTGTCCATGTAAATTTGTATTCAAGCCTGCAGGATGTCATTTTTGAAATATTTTGATGAAATTTAGTACACTGACGTGTTTTGACCCAACGGCGAACTCTATTGAAATGGTTAGGATCGGCCAACTTTTTTGCCCTCCCTCCATATAACGCTAATATAAGAGGCCGTGGGGAAAAAATCGCAATTTTCAAAATTTTAGCATCAAAGCAGCTAAGTAATAAAATTTCGGCATTTAAATTGGTACGAAAACTTTGGATCAATTAGAGAAACTTTTTGAATCCCATGCCATACCACGAAAATTGAAGTTCATATGACCAGCAGGTCTAATTTCCATTGTGTAATGATGAAAATCAGACCGTAATGATAATTTAAGATAAAAAAATTAACTGCGCTAAATTGAGACCATATCGGCCTATTCTTTGGATTCTACTCTCTATGTAGATTTTCACGAAGGGCAGAAAAGTCTGAATTTCAATGTTAACTGACCCATAATAATAATTTAAAACAACAAAAACTCACTGTACCAAATTTGGACCCCCCACGCCTATTGAAAATTGATAGAAGTGGTTTAATATAAATTTTCACTATGCTAAATTTTAAATGTGCACAACAATTTTTGAACCCCTTGCGCGCAACCATTCTTAAAGAAACTAACCCTTTATTAGCAAAGAGGTCTAATTTTAAAGATACAGTTCCACGTCGAAAGATAACGGAATTGTTAGCAAAGTCTTACGTATATTGAACTACTGAAGTAGATATTTGCTTACTGAGCTAAGATTCGACTGAACTACTGGAATAAATATTTGAGTAGAAGATCTGTATTTACAACATGCGTTGAGAGTTTACTTTTATTGATCTTAATTTTATTTGATTACATAGGCCCTGCAAGGAGGAAAGGCCAATTTCGTAAGAGTCTTAGTCTCTGGCGATAAAGAAATCTTGGTTTTCTGTTTAAATTTCTTCGAATAAATTTCGCTCGTAAAAAGTTGTAACAAAAGTTGCATAAACCTAAACCGGCACTCTACATGAAAATGTATGATGCGATATTAACTACGGGTCGGAAAGTGCAAACAAGAAATATTTAATAAAAGTTTCAATTGTATAATTGGATTTAGGTAACTTTTGTGTCTCTTCGCAGTGCCGTGTATAGTGTATAGGCTTTTAAGTGGCACTGTCGTGGCTGTTGAAGGCATATTATGCATGCAGGTTACTCGAGCTTGCTCTTCAAACTTTTCATATCATTCTCATAAAATTCGCTTTGTGTCTGAACTTGTGTAATATCTAACTAAAATTTAAAATGGGCCCATGGGCTGATTTAATTTTTGAACTTAACAAGCTTGAGCTTATTAAAATGGAAAATATTGAAATTGAAAAGCTGCTCGGTTAGCTGATCGAATACAATTTATTTATTGATTTGATACAATGTATATAAAGAGAAGTAAAGAAGAAATAATAACAATTCATGTATAAATAAATAAGAAAGAGAAGAAAGAAAAAAGCATGTACGCATTTAGCACAGACGTGAAGCTACGACCCATACAGATCCAAGTTGGGAGTGTAACCCTAAGCCATCGCGAACGTATAAAAGCGCGGCAACCGATGACAGTAAATAACACCGCATCACAACAGACAACAGACAACAGACAATAGTTAAGGTTGTAAGTTAGTTTAAATACGACCTGAGAAAATCGCCAACTTCCTAGAGAAGCGATTAGAGATATTAAAGTTTATCTCACGAACTAATGTGGGCAAATCGATGGTACCATTAATTAACTTAATTAGAAGCGATTTATTTTCATAAGTAATTCTTAAGAGAAAACACCAAGAGTTACTTTCGAACGCATTCAATTGGTTCATAACGTCTATAGGAAGAAGATCACACAACAGAGATATATTGAGGTATTGATCTAACTAAGCGCCTGTATAGCTTTTGCAACGTAAGGATCTTTAAGCTTTTTGGACCATTTCTTAACGAAACTTATCGCCGGCCTAGCTTTACTTGAAGAGAGCGCAATGCGCAAATTAAAACGCAATCTTAGGTCAAATAGGACCCCTAAACCGATAACCGAATCTACGTTGTCCGACTTATGCGAATCGATGAAACACTTGGTATTGAATGACTTCCTCCTTGGAAAAGAAAGTTTGTGGCATTTTTTTACATTTAATTTCATAAAATTTAACAAGTACCAGATAACCAAATTATTTAAGTCACTTTGAAGGTGATACTATTGCGGAGCAATGTCCTTGTCGAACTAAAGACTAAAGTCTTAAGTTTTTTTTATAAAATACCTCAAGTTATTTTGGGAAATCAAAACCCACCCACAGCTACAAGAAAACTCACTTGTTTTCTTAAGTTTATATAAATTTTTACGAAAATGCTGCACTTGTTGATTGGAGTTTGCATATTTGGTTATTTTATGGTCGTTATCGTAGCGCGCTACAACACAGTGTAGCGCTATCAATTTAAAGTGTATTCATGCTAGAATTATTATCGGATTACTTTAGGATAAACGATTATAGTTTTTCAATCCTCCCTGGTTATCTCCAAAATTATCGTTCTCACTTTAGTTCAGAGGCTCGGAATCCGTTGTAATGTAACCTTTTCTCCGCAGTATTATTTCTACGCCGGTTGCTCAGCTAGCTCTTTCTTTTTCTTTCATCAACCCTCCCTCTATTGGGTTAAAGGACGCGACTGCCGCGCAAATTTTTCTTTTATGTTTGTGATCGTCTTTTTAGGAGGTATCCACATAGGTACCTACATAGGCGCAGCCATGGTCACCATGTGATACTGGTGTCAAAGAGTATCAAAGACGCTGCATTCATCTTCGTCACCAATGAGCATTTGAGTTCTCCGCTACACCCGCTCGAGCACGATTTGGGCGCGTCGGCGCACAGAAACGAATTTTGTGTGCGCTAATATTGACCGCGCTTAAGAGGTGTAAGTAGTAGTGATGTTGGCTGCAATGAACTACATTTTGCAGCGCTTTTGAAAATATCTTTTGATATTTCGAATACATATTTTATCCAACGAACGACGTTTTATACTCTTATGTCCAGAACATAAGCTGCGAATTCTCGTACATTGACAGCGCTGCGTCTTGCTGTTATGTAGGTTTACCCAATTGTTCGACCCAATGCTTATATTTTGGTGAGGTCTCGATTCAGAGAACAGAAGACACTTCGACTGGACTTGTTTTCTTTTCCTGCTTATTAGTTGTTAAACGCTATTGCAGGTTTTTAAATAGATTAATAACATGTCTATGCGCGCGTTAGTACTGTTTGATAACCCGCGTCTGGAACATTTTCTAGTTTGCCTAAGACTATTTGTTTTGGGCTGTTTCCTACTTCTACACAGGAGCAGCGCGGACTTAATTTAATCATCCTGCCAATTTATTGGCCATAACAACAACTTCTCAGATAGCGCAAGTGAAAACAGGGTTGATACGTTATAACCTTGTGGAAAGAACGTCCCATATAGTGACCCTTTTGGCGACCCTTCTTTTAGGAACTCACAACTTATATCGTTTCAAATCCAGAGATTTAGAAATTCATAGTTGAAATCAGATATATATTATGAAATAGTCACGCTTAAAAAAAAGCTTTTAAAAGGTCATGCAAGAAAACAGTACTAACTTATTTACGTTCGATCAGGGTTGCATTTTCAATCCAAATCACCAGCTCGCGCATTTCATTTGCATATAAGTGATAAACAATGTAATCAATATTATTATTCATTTTCGCTATTCACACAGGTATAAACTATAAACCACGTTTAGCTTTTGAGCCTTCCTAATGTATGGTTTATAAATGTGCGCTCTCCTTATCTCATATGGCCGATTTTAGAGATTTCGTTTCCCATTTATTCACTTTTTAAGAAAATTGAGCTATGAATTCAAAATTCAGTTAGAAATTCAGAATATCGTCTGAATTATGGTTTGTGTCGTCAGCTTAGGAGCAGAACTTAATTGAAAGAATTCGAGAAACAAATTAAGTAAAAACAGCAAAACATTTCAATTAAATGGAATCCAAAAAATAGATCCATTCAGTCGAAATTCGGACGAGTTAATTTTTATGTTAAATTACTATTATAGAGAAATTTTTAGCATAAAATATTAAAAAGTTGTTTTTGGCATATAAAGGTTTATATCTCATGATGATCCTTATATGCGGCGATGTCTGAAAAGTAAACTCACTTGATCCAAATTTAAATTTAGTCTTATATCAATTTGCTATATAGACTCTTGTCGTTCACAGCGACCTTATATGAGATGAGATCCAAAAAATAGAACTGTATGGTCCACATTTCGTAAGTTTCTGCGTCAAACTTGTACTAATTTTTCCATGAAATATTGAAAGTTTAACTTTTCAATTGAGTAAAGATTGAGTTTTCGTTGAAATGGTTGTAGGAAGGGGGATCAAAAAATTTCCCCTTCATATCCAAATTTTTGATAAGAATTTAGAATGTCAAACTATTTTTACTCAAGGATTTTTGCCGAGGGACTTTGAAAATTGCGACTTTCTTTTTATATAGCAACTTATCAAAACAAGGCAGCATATAAGGAATGGTTGAAAAGTCGCCGAATCCAAATGAATTGCACCACCATTCGTCCTTTGGCCAAAACACGGCAATGTAATAAATTTCCTCAAAATATCTCAAAAATTGCCATCTGTAGGACGAACACAATTTAATTAGACGGACATCAAACGGCCAGACAAACGGACTACTCGGAATATGATTTTGGATCAGCCAGTATAACAAAATGTAGGCCTGTCTTAAGCATCTCTAGACACACATCCGTATGCATTTAAAATATCCCATTTAGGCAATAGTAGTGGTAGGGTACAAAAGGCAAAAACGTATTTGTACATATATCCGAAGGTTAATGCGAGTCTAACTAACAAAGGCAACTAATAGCAGTGAGCTTCGTTTGTTGTCTTCCCTGAGTCTTGATTTCGAAAATGATCTTCTTAGCTCAAAAAAAACAACAACAAGCACCTTAACATAAAGGCCGATAAACGGAATAACTATCACTAAAAGTCGAGACCGAAACACCTGCGTTTATAGACTGCGGTGACATTAGAGCTGTAAACGAACCTGTTAAAGTTGAAATGCAAATATACCACATTATGGGGATAAGTAAGGCTTCCAATTTAATGAATACGCATTGTAGTTCCAAGTAGGATTGGTCCAGTTATTGTTGTTATTAGTGAAGTGCTGATAATGACAAGGTCTGCAAGTTAAGACCCGGATTGATATTGTTAAATTTACTACCATGTATATAAAGGACGGGTAAAGATAAAGATAGGCGCCCTCTATTGAGTTAATAGAATCAAAAGTCAAGCGTAATGGTGTCTTTATCTAAACTTCATGCCATATATGATTGGGTCGTGCCTGTTGCAACACAGATGCGCTGATCAAGGCACGCTCATCACGGTGGGATCACGGGATTACTATTTAATGCTGAAAAATTTTAGTGCAGGGGGGAGCAGTTATTTTACTTCTTTTTAGAATTATTCTTCATTTTTAAACGTAGCATTGGCTAACTAAGCTCCGCTTTTCTACTCAAAACAAATAAAATGAATATAAGCTTGTCTTGCTGTGCTGTGGTTATAACATACACATGCGACTATAATCTATTAGATCGTAGGTTACTGCGTTATTTAACTGCTCGAGCGTTGCTTGTTCACAAATTCAACTCCGATTTAATTCTTGAATATTTTCATTTTTATTTTTCAGAATATCAAGTGGGAATATCCTAAAGGAAATCATAGCAAATAAACGCGAATCAGTAAATCGTAAAAATTGGAACATCGAAAAATTAAAAACACAAATAAAAAATACATATATTATAAATAAATTCATCTTTTAAACTATTATGCAATCTTCCCTTAAAGTGCGAGTTTGTGTCGAATTCTACGTTTTTGAAATTGTTGTCCCCATCTTTGTTTTCCACTTGTTTTGGCGTTTTACCTTTTTTGTTCTCATGGTAAGTACGACTAACTTTAATCTTTTAACACTTTTTCAAAGAGAAAACGGTTTGAAATTTACATCCGGTAAAAAGCAGTGGCGTTTTTAGGTTTGCAACGTTGGGGAACAAGACAGAAAAATTATGTAAAACAAAAGCTCAAGTAATGTCTCCGTTGTCCATGAAGAGATTGCAACCCTACTTAGTGCAGAGGGCGGCAGATTTTAAGCTGAAACTGTGTCGAAGGGGACAGAACTATCGGAGCCTAGTTATGAAGGACAGTCAAACATTTAGTCAAGTCCTTTTTCTTCCATTGATTACATATTTTTTCGATCATTAAAAATCAACTCAAATTCTACTACGGCGTTGACAGGGATAGCTGCACCTTTTTTTGCTATTTCTCATAAGAACATCGTTAACGTGATACTACCGTTATAAACTTGGGTGTATTGGTACCTGGTGCATATTAGAACAGACAATAACTTAACTCAATTTTGGTTCCTCTTCAGCGGCAAAATACGCAAGACAGTGCCCGACTTTCCTTGAAGTTGCTTCTTTTTTTGTTTTTGAGAGAGATTTACGGATATAAACCAAGATGGTGGTACGCTCTGATAAATGTTATATTTAATTGCATGGAAGAATACAGAGCTAAACAATAAATTGTATCAAACGCCAGCCAATGTTGAAAAGCTTCAATTTTTGAAAACGTGTGCGTATGTGCGTTATGCTTTCATTGACGCAATACTCCTATCCTAATATTAGCGCCAAGTCCGTCTATGTATAAGTTGAACGTGCGTATCTCGTGCGGTGTGAATTCAATAAAGAATTTTCTTTGTGTAATCAAGTGATAAAAATGTATTCGTCTGTTATACTTCAATAATTCGCAATTTTGTTGTGGCAATCGAAACGTGTGATATTTTATTGATATGATACAGGCAAGAGAGTTATATTCATCTCTCGCTCAAGCTAAATTTAATATGTGCTCAATGCGGGTAAAATGCCTTGTGATGTGTTAATAAAGTGAAAATAACTAAAAATTTTGCATATCAATCTATTAAGGAATCTTTCATAATTATTGCCTTAAATGAATGAATGAAAGCGAACCATCTTCAGTTTTTGGGCGGCTCTCTCTCCCGGAGATTATTCATGAGATATTTTTTCGAAATTGATGATTCAAAATTCAGTTCAATTTACCAATTTTTCAGCCTTTAAACACTTTAGCATCGATTAAGTGGTGGGCACGATTTAGTCGGTGCACAATTTGTTTGGGATGATTTGTCTCAATCGGCTTCCGGCGCGTACATCTGTACGGGAGTTATAAGAAGACTGATACTATTGGAATATTTCCATTTAGAAATATTTTAGCATAAGAAAGTCTATTAACCATTAGGCTACCATCACTCCCGACCAATAAACAAAAATTGCACAATGTTTGCTTCTTTTTATATTTTCATCTAATTTTAGATTGCATCTGCTGCAGATAATAACTTGTATATATTTGGAAACGTTATTCTGCCTGTAAGTAGGTCCTGCCGTGTGTCAGTTTTCTTTCTCAATTATTGCTATCGTGAACGTTCTAACAACAAACAAACTAGGTGCTGATGAACTGGTGCATTATCAAGAATGTGCTCCTGTCGCACAGATAGGGATAAACCACTTTAATTTTTTCTTCTTCTTCTAAAATGAAACATTCTAATCAATTATATGAAAAGCACTTACCAGAGATTTCTCCCTCTGCTGAATAGAAAATAAAAACAACAAAATACTATGCATTTGCCATATGAAAAGAAAAAATTAATTGATACTGAAGTAAGTTCATAGATGGTCAGTGAAAGTTAGCCAATCAGGCCGAGAGTGTTAAAGCGATTAACCGCAATACACAAGTAAAAGCTGCAACGAACGAAGTCCTTCTTAAAGTATTCCTTTGACATGAAAGAATAAAAAGTAACATTGATCGTAGGATATGTAGTACTTGTAGCTAACAAGTTGGCAAAGCTACGCCACATTAGAAATATCACTGTAATCATTAGCAATAATCTAAAGATGATGCCTGCGTAACAGTTGCAAATGTCGTCAGATTTAATAATAGGGTTGCCTTGACCTGTTTCTAAAAAAATTGTACTGGGCCGCAGCTGTTTCCATTTCTTACGTCCGCAACGTTTCTCTAAAATAAAACTCGGAAAAGAAAAGGAAGTAAGCGGAGGCGGCCGATTTTGCATATATCTACAGGTACTGTACGATTACTCACCGAATGTAGGGAGAAATTTTTATCGCCTTATCTGGCATAGCTTCTCTATTTGTTTTTCTTTGTTTTTGAAAACAGAGGTGCTCTCTGCAGATGTTATCGTTTGGTTGATTTGGCCTATCGTCAATACCAATCGACACTTGCAAGAACTGTCAACTACCAAGTTTGAAGCCGATTTTTTAATATTTACGAATGCAAGAATGTTTATCACACACATTCACGCAGACCGGCGGCTTCTTGCTGGACATTTCGGTAGGGGATACAGGAAAATATCCGTTAGCATTTTCGCCCGGAAATAGGGTCGCAGCAGTCTCGCACCCAATCAAAACAAACAAAACTTTTCAAGTTCGCAGCCCACACTTAGGGCTTTTCTGTTACATACCCGTAAGGCATTATAATAGCCCAACTGTTTGGGCATTTCCATTTTGTTTGTTAAGAACTGCAGCCTACAGAATTCTTGAAATCCTGCTTTCCTGCTTATATTTAGAAAGTCGGTTGAATTGGGAAATATTGTTACCGGAAAGCTTGCTTTGTCAAATAGAGCAGGCAATTAGAGAAGCTACCGATAGTTTGTCGCGCTTTTAAGCGCCTTGGGCATTTTTGCCAAGTCACTCTTAAACTTGTGAACTAGACTTCCCGTGGGTGAAGTCAAGAGTTGTGGCGAATACAAAGATGTCAGAGAGCTATCATTGAAGGCTTTTCACAACGCATCTAATTCCTTTTTTTCTTTAATCATGTCCCCAAAGCAATGTTATTACTCTTCTTTTTGGATTTGAAGAGACGCTAAGACGCCCAATTGAAGAGACAGAAGAAAAGCATAAAGACCATTTAAAAATCTTTGTCTGATGAAGCACTTTGATTATGAATCTCGGCACTTTTCATCACACATGCAAATCTTTGTTACCGAACAAAGTAAACCAATTTGAAATCCTATTCATACAAAGCATAAAATTATGCATTTGTTCAGAAATACCTAATTAATTGTGATAAAGCGTTAATGCTAACAAGGTCTTGTGGCGTTTTACCAAAAAACAATATAACCTCGCGTTGTAAAATCCCGTAGGTAGTGCAATTTTCGATTCGTAAGGTTAACAATTTAGCAAACAGCTATCCACCGTTCAAAACCAAAGAATGGTTGCTTATCAAGATTTACTGAGAGTGATTGGGACAAACAACGTTTCTCTTCAATTACACACCTTTTGGTGATTCAAGAAATCGAAATAGTCGGACAGCAGGAGCGAGATTTGAAAATATTCCCGAAAACTTTTTCATTTTATAAGAAAAGATATCAACATGATTGGAAAACGAGCTGCAATACCGTGTGCGCGGAGCGTGTACGATATTTATTCATTGGACATTCATTCAAGATGCATTCAAAATCATTGTATAAAATAAAAATTATTTACTTTACACAATACAATACAACAACATATATATAAATGCACGGCCAAGCGTTACCTAATCCGTTCCAATTCTTAATGGGCAAAAGGAGAAGGACGAGAGAGCGGAGCCTATGCTTGTGCTATGTCTGTCCGTGTGTCGGCCCATCCGCCTTATATTCTTTTGTTCAACCTGCGGGGCGCAAATTTTGAGAAGTATTCGATGAAATTTGTCACACTGATGTTTCTTGTTCTTAGGATAAATACTATTGATACTAATGGTTTAGATCGGATCACTTTTTCGACCAAGTCCCATGTACATAGTACCTTTTTCTGAAATGGCGTATGAGCGTAACTGCATTAAACAAATGCTGTAGGATATTTAATGGTGGGCCGTGTCCCTCTATGGTGTTTTTACTTGTTCTTAAATTACATTGCGATTTGACTTTTTCCCTTTAAACCGAAACTAAAAATTGAAATTTTCTTTATTAATTTGCTAAACTATGTCTATGCATTCAAATGTGAGCATAAAAAAAAAAAACTTTACACAGACTTTATAAAAACAACTGTAATGAAGGTCAACAATTCTTTGTCTAGACTCTAGATAGACAGTGAACATAATTTGAAACGTGAAAATACCACCATAGTGCGGTAACTTTTAACCTCATTACAATTTCTTTTTTGTTTTGTTTTGCTTGTTTTAAAATCCAGCGCAATGTTTTATCTAAAAGTATTAGTTTTTACAATTTGCACAGATTAATATGTATAAATACATATATACAAATATATACATATGTATGTATTTATATATATATATATATATATTTAATATATATTATATACTAATATAATATATGCATGTATGCAGGTGTATATTACACATTATTTATTAAACGTAGGTACGCTTAATAATAGTTGTAGAGAGGCTGTAATAGCTGGCTTTAGTCGCATGTCGATTGCTCACGAAAATTTATAAAATTTCTTCTATTATAGCGCAATGTCTCGTAAGTTGTTGTTGCATTAAAAAAGTTCTACAGTGTGAGTCAAGGGGACGTATATAGTATATGTGCACCTAGCACTGCGCTGAAGGCGTGATATAAATAGCATTTCGAAGTTCTAATACGAGATTGTTTAATGCTGGGCATAAAATCTAATCTTGTTGTTGTTGTTGTTGCGGTTGTTGCTGTTAGATTGGGCCAGTGCTCAAGCTTTTTAGGAAAAATTACGGATTTTTCTTTGGATCTATTCTTTATAAAAGGAAACATACATTTAAGCTTGAAATGAGCTTCAATTGATTGGCAAATGTATGTGGAGAAGTTAGGATTTTATTACAAACAAGTTGATAAATGTAGTTAATCTGCGGACTAAAAAGTTTGCTATACGACAAAGAGAAAAAT